TGTGTGTATAACATACTAATTACAGCTAAGTGAAATGTTTAGAGAGTTAAACCAAATATGAACTCCATGATGGCCCCAACCTTACATTCCTCTTGGTCCTGTGTGAATGCTGCTGATTGGACACTGCTGTGATCCAGCAGTTTAATGAGACCTCCTAAAGGGATGATCTCACTAATGTTTACACAACTGCTCTCATCACAGGAGCAGGATATGACTGAATACTAATACAAACATAGGACTATATCAAGGTTTTCACAAGTGACAAAACTCAGTTTTTTTGTATGATCAAAGTATCAAATATGATGTTTTTTGCTTGGGAATTGCTAAGCAGCCAAACCAAATCGGAGGATTTGCTCAAATACACTGCACAAACAAAAGGTTCAATCTGCTACATACCTTTTATGTCCATAAAAGGTAAATACAAAATAGTACAGATATGCGACTCATTTTACAGGCACATTGTATATGTATTTCCAAAAATAAATACTGACTGCATCCTGGACATCTGAACTTATTTCTTTGTTGCAGTCAGTTCAGATGAAATGCATAACTTTTAAACCTTTTTTAGTGCCTTAACTGTGAGGTTGACAAGACGGGGAAAAAATGTGTTTTCTCACATAGAGAGTATATACAATTATCTTTATGATGCTGATTATTCTGACAATATAAACAATTGAGCAGTCTTCTTGATTGCCACATCCTGGTAAGTTTCAAGCAATTTAAGGACAAATCACATGTACTTTACATCATTGCTGACACTCTCCCACTGAAAAATCTCGATGATTCAAATGATTGTGTTTTTCTTCCCTTTTGGGCAGCCATTGATTTCCATTCATTCTGTAGCCAATGAAAATCCATCAAAATCAACTTAAAACCTGTCACATGTGTTTGATATTAGATTGCAGTTATAAACATTATACATGCTTTATTTAAAAGAAAACAAATATAGTATTTGTTGCTTGGAAAAGTACACATTTATTTGTTTGGGGACCATATAGTGATCATATTTATTTGAAAAAAATATCTATTAGATATTTAACATTGATTTTTCATCCTTTAAAATATATCTGTTATTATTAAGGAATTTAGTTCATATCTCTCGGATCTTAATCTCCCTGTTTTAACTTTGTTAAACCTAAGTTAATAGTTTAATAGTTTAAAAAATATTATTTTTGTAAGAAAATGCCACAATATAGAAAGAGCTCTTCAGTATGGGATATGCGGAGAGCGCGAAAATCGTGTACTTGAAGAATGCTTAAGAAATTTGCAAAGAATTTCTGATTTACTTCCTACCGACACACACAATGCCCTGAAAAACGGCTTACGGGAGCTGAAAGTGCTACTATCGACCCATGTCCAAACTGGAAATGGGGAATATTCTGCAGCCCGGGCCAGTTCAGGTAATAACTGGACGTATTTTTTTATACTGTTATAATCAAGTAGCCGAAGGCTAGAATGCCTAGAATGTCCGCCAAAATGCTGCGTAAATCTGTGACGTTTTGACTAGACAGAATGCTAATTCAAGATATCATTAATGTCATTTTGACTAGTCAGAATGTCAATCTAAGATATCTTAAATGGAAAAGCCGAATAATTCAAGATATCTCGAATTCATTTAGAGATATTTTAAAAGTAATTTTGACTAGTCAAAATTACAATTCAAGATATCTTAAATTTAGTTTTGTCTGGTCATTATTTTCTTTTAAGATATCTATCATTTAATTTTCACTAGTCAAAACTACATTTCTCCTATCCAAAAATACATTTAAGATATCTTGAATTATGGTGTCATTTGAGATATCTTTAATTAGAATTATGACTAGTCAAAACTAAAATTGAGATATCTTGAATTTACTTTATCACTAGTCGTAATTTAATTGTAGATATCTGAAATGTGTATTTCAGATAGTCAGTAATTCATTGTAGATATCTTGAATTGAAGTCTCCATACAACTCAATGGTAAATCTGACGTCATTTCGACTAGTCAGAATGTAATTAGAGATATCTCAAATAGGTATTTTGACTAGTCAAAATATAATTAGAGATATCTTAAATCGCTAAAACGTCAAGTCATAATACAATTTGAGATATCTGGAATGTAAGGGCGGCAAAACCGAATTTATGTTAAAACGGCTTGCCATAGGAGAGGGAGAAAAACACCAGTCAATGCCAGACTTGTCAAAAAGTCGATCAGATATTTCCAGCATGAACTCCATCTTACTGACGAATGCAAAAAAATAATATTATACTTCACAGGATAATGAGTGGTTGTGCAGAAACTCAGAGGAAGATAGCAACATTTCTGGAAATAAAATTAAATATCCTTATTTTAAATAGAATCTGACTTGCTGGAAATGTTGTGGAGTCATTCTTATTAAAAGAATAGGATAAGAGGTCAGTTAGTTCAGAAGGCGTGTTCAGCAAAGAGATGGATTTTAAATACTTGTTTTTAACACTTTATGTAATGGTTACCTCCATGGAGGTACTAAATGTCATTTTGTTGCTGGTGTACTTGTATTTTGGGAATTACATTCATAGAAAAGGCTGTCCAATTCTTTTACTTCTGTGTTTATTGGTAAATGTCCAAATAAAATGATCTCCACCTTCTTTTCGGGGTCAGCTCAATGCTGTCTTTAGCGACAGCTTTAACATTTCAAGCAGCAGCCTGTCCAGTCAAGAAAAGTTAAGAATGACTTATTTCAGGTATGGAACGCTGATGACTAATAGTGGCTAATGTTGTGACATGCTGCACTCTGCTGTTCAAAAGACCAAAGTGAATGAAAAGTCATACCACACTGTCAGACCAGAGCAGATTAGGAAGTTCATGAAAGACAGCTTTAAACACTTCACCGCAACCAAAATGTGCTTTCCATTGTGTGGAATGAAAGGATTCTACCTGCATGCCTACCTCTCAAGAAATGTTATATGCTGTGAGCTGATGAAATGAATTACCTTTGGCCAAGACTTCATGGATTCTTCAGATGTAATTATAATGATTTACATTATAGTGATTTACAAATGATCTCCTTCTCTTTTACTGTTGAAAACTTATAAGAAATATTCCATTTAACCCGAACATCTTTTTATCTTTGTAGAACAAATAAGAAAATGTTCCCCTTTCCTCAAAATAGCTCTGGAAATTTAAAATGGATCTGGGTTGCTTCCGCATTTTTAAGCTATTCAGTACCTGACCTGGTACATTTTGAGTAGAAAACGCTACTGTCGGCACCTCAGGTGCGTCCCTTAGATAATCCATTTCACACTGGTGATACCGGAGGTAATTAACCTACAAACATTGACTTACTTGTTATATTATTTGAATAACTACTTATAAAGCACAAACCTTGATGATGCTTTATTATCATCATGCGATTTACGATTATAATTTCACAAACTTATTTAAAATGTGATTCATTATTAGATTATGAAAGACTGCCATCTCACTCTGACAGAGAGAAAAACATAACATTGTCAAATATATAGTAAATCAATATGTAATTTAATATAATCCAGTTTCCTGGTCTAAACTATATTGATTTGGTATTGAGAGATGCTTATCAGAATTACAAAAATGAAAATGCTCAGAGTTTGCTTAATTTGCAAAATAGTGTGATTACTGAGATAAATCCAGCTCGGAGGCAGGTGTGCATCAAAAGTGGATTATCTCCTGGATATACATACATATACATAATCGTACTGCGCAAGGGAACACTTCATATTCAGGACCTTTCTATGTTAATTCTGGTCTGTAGGAAAAATCTATTGTTGTGTTTGACAGGTGAGTAAGATCAGTGTGGCTACATTTTATATTTTCAGCAGAAAGATGTAGGATTTAGCAAAGGAAAGTGGAGGAGTTTTAGTTTGCGTGAGAAAATAGGACAGATAGTGATTCAAATTGACAAATTCAAAGTTACATACACCTGTGCAGCTGCTGGACATCACATATGAGTGGAGTAATAAGATAAGAAAAAACACTGTCTTGTTTTTAGTCAGTCATCCACAAGCAATGTAAAAAGTATCCATCTTACTCAGATAAGACTATATAAAACAAATAGATGAATAGATGCTGGATACAATAATAAAGAACAGACAAATCCTATCTAAGTCTGAGTTGAAATCCTATTTACAAAGGGTAGAGGGTAAAAGAGACTTTGCTTTCTAATCCAGCTCAGTGATAAAGAATTTACCCACCCACCTAGACAAAGAGGTAAGAAAAGCCCTACATGCCTCTAACTACTTCATGGTCATCTGGAAAAAGTCAAAGGTGAGCACACAGAAAGGATGTCAGTTGTGAAACAGAAAATCACTGATATTGGAACATGAGCTGTAAAAATGGTCTATTTGGATTTTCCCTTATCGTGTCTGAATTGATCTAAAATTATACATATTACATATAATCATATGTTAAAAAAATTTCTCATACAAGCCACCGTCTTCTTTCCCTGTTTCAGTAAGTCGGTCCAGGGTACAATCCTTTTACAAATGCACACACTGGAGTCATTGAGTCGCCCTGTTAGACTCACATGAACTGACTTTGCTTCAGCCTGGTGATTAGAATTGCTGCAGGATCTGTCATCTCAAGAGCACCTTATACTGATAGAAAATCTGAATCTTGAATTAAAATCCAGCCTCTTGATTGACTTGCGTTCTCTGTAATAAATTAATCTGGATCAGTGTGGCAGGTCAAGTGTGAGATTAGTGTGGTATTTGATTTGCTGTATGAGGGACTCATTTACAAGCCGGCCTAGTTTGTCATGGAAAGACACACAAAAAGAAATCCTGCTGGCCCGTGTATATTCAGGTTATTGGTGAAAGGGGAGCATAAATCAAAAGCACACAGGATAATGTTCTTTACTCTGTGAATAAAGCCCCAAGATAACACCGTGGCCCTGATCGTCTATTTAAAACTCGATTTCATTGGCTAAGAATAGAAGCGTCAGAGGAGACGTAATCACGTGCACTGGTACTTTCCTCTGACATGTTGCGTTTGAGGGACGGGTGAAGTGTAAGTCCAAAACTGCGGTTACAAAAGCACATTTCGTACATCTCGCTTTGGTTTTACGTAATTTTCCTCAGTTGAGATTTCTGTTTAAAGTATAGATATCCTGAAAAAAATAGAGTGAGTCTTTTTTTCTTAGGGCTTTATTTCCTTTATAACCACCGTTCGAGCTTCAACTATACTAGCATGATAGGAAATTTCCGACGTTTCAAGAGGTTGTTGAATCTCCCATGGCGGTGGCCCGGCTGTCCTACAGTGGAGTTAGTGTGGGGAGCACAGCACCGTGAGGGGGCCCGCTGAGATGAAGGGCAGCACGGACTGCCAGCAGGCCTGAGCCCCGCGTCTGTCCCCGGAGCGCCGGCCCGGTCGCCATGGACTTCGTGCTGAGCGGAGTAGCGGCGTGCGGCGCCTGTCTGTTCACCAACCCGCTGGAGGTGGTGAAAACTCGGATGCAGCTGCAAGGGGAGCTGAAGAGCCGCGGCACCTACCAGGTTTACTACCGCAACGTCTTCCACGCCTTTTACACCATCGGGAAAGTGGACGGGCTGTCCGGCCTGCAGAAGGGGCTGGTGCCCGGCCTCTTCTACCAGTTCTTCATGAACGGGGTCCGGCTCGGCTCGTACGCCATCATCGAGACCTCCGGTCACATCCACACCAACGGGAGGGTCAGCGCGGTCAAAACCACGCTGGCGGGGGCCGTGGCCGGTGTGGTGGGGGCGGTCATGGGCAGCCCCATTTACCTGGTGTGTAATGTTTTTTTATTATTATTACTGTCTCTGAACTGAATCTATACCTGTGAATGTAGACGACAATAACCCAAAGTGTCTCCACTGATAGGTGAAGACTCATCTCCAGAGCCAGGCCACTTCCTCTATCGCAGTTGGCCACCAGTACAAACACCAGGTAACATAAGAACCCTAAAGTGAGAGTATTTTGGTGAGTGGCAGGTATCAGCCGGGCTCTTATGTAAGCCTCCTCTTGGCAGGGGATGGTCCACGCTCTGAGGGCCATCTACAGGCAGCACGGCCTGCTGGGGCTGTGGCGGGGGTCCAGCGCCGCCGTGCCCAGGGTCAGCGTGGGCTCGGCCGCACAGCTGTCCACCTTCTCCTCCTCCAAAGAGCTGGTCATCGACATGCAGGTGAGAAGATCTGTCCGCCCCCAGCCGAGGAGCGGAGGCCGGCGGCCAGCAGGAGATTTCTGTTTCCACAGTGTGTGCACAGTGTTTTTCACAGGAGCGCCTTGCTTAAGAAGAAACGCCACTGCCCGTATCTGTGTGTATCTGAGACAGCTGTACTTTTTTTTTTGTCATGTGTGACGCAAAACTTCTGGAATAGACTAAACCATTTAGGCTCAGACCACTTGGAATAACTTCCTAACATCTATCCTGCTGGCGTAATGCCTGTTGACTGATCATGAGAGTCAGCCTTTAGAGGTGTTTTTTTCTGTACAGTAGCTGTGCATATATGACAGAGCCACTGTGGCTCCGACAAAGCTCTCCGAACTGCTCCGCTCTGGAATTCCAACCCCCCTCGCTGGCCCCCTGAGCCAAAACACGCAACTTGTAAACTAGTGCACTGGGCTGTTTCATGTCTGCTACAAAAAAGATAGGACCCTAGAGGCGTGTGGACAACTGAGGAGCGTGTCAGAAAAGATGTCTCGGTGTTCTTCTCTTTCATTCACTGGAGTACCAGCTGATTGGGTGAGCGAGGGGCGTGTTGTCGCTGACAACTCCCACCAGCGTCCCATTCAACACCTCCGTAAAGCTTAAAGACAGCATGGCCTACTGCTCTGCATGGTCACCTAGTGGTTATCTGATATAAGGAAATAGTTTGGAGTGCAGACATAAGCAGAATGACAGTTACATCAATGATGCAGTTAAAACCGGAAGAGGCTGCTGGCTTCATAGTCCTAGAGTTTATTTTCCATTCGCTAGACCTGCTAGTGTCACCAGCAGCATTCTTATTTTCTTCCTCTCAAAGGTGTTCCCGACTGGCAGCTGGCTGGTGCCCCTGAGTGCGGGCATGATCAGCAGCGTGGTGGTGGTTCTGGCCATGACTCCTTTCGATGTGGTCAGCACGCGGCTCTACAACCAGCCTGTTGATCCTCAGGGCAAGGTGAGAAGGCCCCGTCCAACCCAAACCCGAATACAAATACAGGGAATGTGGTTAAAAACAAGGCTTGCGCAGTTCTAACGAGCTTTAAAGTCAAGGTTATACATGACAAAACGTTTAGTGTTTCCCCTCAGGCATGGTCCTGTTGTCATGTTTAATGAGGCACCAAAGGAAGTTTGTCATTCTCCATGTTATTTATCCCACCCGTCGTTTTCATGTGGGAGCACTGAGACAGATCCATGATGTTCCTAAAAGGTGTCTGTCTTAAGTTTAGTGGAATATTGTTTATACGTATAAAAAGGTCGTTAGACAACTCCTGTCAAAGAAAAAAAAAAGGAAACTGGAGTTTGTGCTCTATAACAGACCATATCTCTTATCAGTCTAAAATCAGTGTGGATGATTTTTCATTTTTGTAAATGAGTCAAACGGTAATCGTGGAAAGACCGAGGAAAACTCTTTAGGAACAGAATGTCTCTCTTTATGCGTGACTGATCCCAGAGGACGACTCAAGCCCTCCCCTTTCTCCTCCTTGCTCAGGGGCAGCTCTACAAAGGATTCAGTGACTGCTTTTCCAAGACGCTGAAGAAGGAGGGCTTGGTGGGGCTCTACAAAGGCCTGGGAGCCTCTTATTTCCGAATTGGCCCGCACACCATTCTGTCTTTGTTCTTCTGGGATGAACTGCGCAAATTCTACCAGAAGTTGAGATAGCACCAGGGACGAGGAAGCTGGTAAATGGGTAACTCATTAAGTTCTGAGTGCGGAGGTTAAATGAATCCACATTTAGAGAGTTTACGATTATGAGGTGAAAGAAAAGCCAAAAGAGGCTCTCTTTTCTTAATGGGAAAACACATTAACCATTAAATGTGTAAAGAAGAAAACACATTAACCATTAAATGTGTAAAGAAGAAAACACATTAAACATTGAATGTGTAAAGAAGAAAGCTGGAAGCCGTACTCAGAGGCTCAGTCACATATCATCAGATATATCTGACTGAAATGGAAGCATTGAGATTTGTGATGGTGGCCGGTCTGGTCTGACATAAACATACAGAGTGTGCTGTATTTCATCTGGATTAATTACATCAGCCGTCATGACTCTTTTGTAGCACTTAAACTCATTAACCGTGTCATTCCAGAACCTTCAAATAGGACTTGCACTTTGTAACTCCTGGAGAAAGCATCAAGCGTGGCCACTGGCTCAGGAAAAGGAGCCGCATTTAGCCTCAGAATGAAACATTTCAGGGTTCAGTGTTGCCGTGAACCTCAATTTACTATCTCTGAGTCTTTATTTTGAATTATAGTGGGACCCAAAAGTTTCAGAGGACATATTTATGTGTAGAAGCGGATATGATGGAGTCACACCTCTGAGTGGCTTAAGGTGACATAAACAAAACAAATATAAGCTCAAGACCATTTTGAATGAGGCAGGTGTGCTACAACAGAAGGGGAAATGTATGGGAAGACTCAGCCAAAGATTTTTCTTCCTGAGGGCCCAACTTCCCTTAAGCAGAAGTCCAATCTGTGCTCGGGTCAAAGTTTGGAGCTCATTAGAAACCCGAGCATGGAGCTGATCCAGGGAAGCTGGAATGTGGAGGGAAATAACATTTTGTATGTAGTTTTTTATTGGCTCCCTCATAAGGGGACATGTCGTATTGTTTTCCTCATAAATCACATATAATGTGAAAAGCTTCTTACTTCAAATGCCTTAATATCTATCAAGGTTTAAAAAAAGAATAAAAAATGCACAAGATGCACTTTGAACAATTATGCATGAATTCAATTCTATAGTTATTTGTTTTTAACTTGCTACCAAGCTATATTGAAAATGATGTATATCTATCTTATTTAGGTTAGTGTTCCCATACATAATCCTATAACTCTTTTTATCTCTACTGTCACACTGGGACCCATCAGGGATCGTGTCTCTGTGCGCTTGTGGCCTTACAATAGTTAGGAATTCTTTGCTCTTTGTTTTGATTGGGGCTGGATGATGGCTCAGAATCGTCAGAGCTCTACGCTTTTATGCTGCTCAGGTCCACCGTTACAGTGGATCACTATTAAGTTAGAGCGTTTTCACTTCAGCCAGATTTGGTGCTTTCTTCAGGACACACAGGCTCCTCCTTCAGATGTCAAACAATGTGAGACTCAGTAATCATTTTTGCCAAACATTTGTTATTTTAAAATCATAACATTTTCCTCATGAGATGTTTTATGTGCCGCAGACATAAAAAGACACATTTGTCTACTTAAATTCCATCTCACAAAGAAAGATAGCAATGCTTCTAGATTCTAGGTTGTGGGTTTACTTTAATATTTCAAAGTTTTGGCCTTCTTAGTGTGGGCATAATCCTCCAATGGGAGCCTTTTCTACTTTTAAAGTACCTTTTTCTCCTCAGTATATTAATACCTGCTAGCGCTATAGGAGTCTTTTATGCAAGTCATATTTTTTCAATTTGTTTGTTAAAACTTCCAGCCTGAGTAGTCGTGTCATAAGCATCAGGCTGATGGAGCAGTTTCAGGGTGGCTCAGCCTGCGCCAGACCTCCTTATGAGGCTGAAAGTCCAGGCACTTTTGACCAGAAATGACCTCCTTCGCAGAAACCTTTTACCAAACTGTCTGCCTTTAATCGTTACACCTGCTTCTCACCATGCAACTCCTGTGCCATCCTGCCAACACCTTTTGTTTTTATTAAAATGGAACCTGTTCACAGTGAAATGACCACAAAGTTGAAGACAGAGTTTATTTTTTATCTGCCGTCCCTTTATTGCCTTGAAATATTCAAACTTCAGAAGAGAGTCTGAGGTTGAGGGGTAATAATGGGAAGTTTCTATAAGAATTCTGGGTGAAAAAGAAGTCTGTCAAGATCATATGTATTTGCATTTTTAAGTTGAGTGCACTAGTGATGATTGTTAGAAGCTAAATTTGATTGAATGTGTTACAACGTTTGTTGCTCAACGGACAGAAGGGAGCAAATAAACTATCTGACCTTTTGACAGAATTTGTGGACATCCTTATTTATTTATTCACTCATCTTTCATGGGACAAGTCTCACGTCACCAGAATGGCAGCGAAAGCTGAATTCCTTTGACTTTCTTTGACCTTTTTTCTATCCCGGTACAGCATGGCTTATTGTTCTGAATGTGTCGAACCCGTCGTCGGTTCAAGTTCTGAAGATTTCCACAAATGTGAAGAATCTTGTCACATCAAAATGGACCAATTGAGGAATTTTTCCTCCAGCCGACAGAGAACAGAAAGCCATGCAGCTCAGTTCTGGGAAAACTTAACCTTGTTATTCAGGCAGCCGAGTGTAACAAAGTTTCAAAGTGACTCGGAGTAAAGTGATACATACAGAAAATACATGGTCAATTCAGAAGATTTTTGGTTTATTTTTTAATGTACGAAGACAATAAGTCACACCGCTGGATTTAGTTCACAGTTAAGGTAAAAAATAAAGATGTTAACAACATTTTTGTGCCATGCATAAAGAGATTCTACAGCCGAAAATATTTCGAAAATGTAGGGACTAATCTGTAAAAGCTGACAGGCCTTAACATGACACTCTGTATCAGATCTATTCAGATCACAGAGTTCTTTGTAAAACTTTCACTTGACTGTTAATTTTTTTTGACGATCTCTCAGCTGACCTTTAGTATCCTGGAAAAGGAGGAACCAGAAAATTGCTGACCACACTTATCTTATTTCCTCATTTCAGAAATTCCTTAAAGCGCAACAAGCTGTGCCTGCATGTGGAACTCCCTATCCTAAACCGTTTTAGTGAAAGAAACCAGAAAAATAAGAAAGCAGGCTCTGTTGCAAAGGCCAAAAATCCCTAATTAGAGGGATGGACACAAAGTTTCCATGGTTAAATATTCAATAATGAAAGTAATCTTAATATAAGGTGCCACGCAAAAAATCCAGTTGTCCAAACAAACAAAAAGTTATGCTAATCTACAAAAACAATACAAATGACAGGACCACATGCACCATGTGCATAGACATTATATTAAGTTTTCTTATTAAAGCTTACATATTCACATTTGTCACATATCTTAGGAGAAATGTTTGCATTTAGAAGTATATTTTTTTACCCCTTCATAAAATTTAGAAGACATGAATATGAAACAGCCGAACAAACAGCAACATGCAGATTCAGAAGAATCTCTTATCACGAGGAAAACAATTCCCATTTTAACCACAAGAGGGCGCCAAATAAGTCCTTATGGTAATGTAACACCAGACAAGCGACCAGCACAAAAACAGTTCCCCCAACACTCAGTGTCCTCCACCACTAATCTCTCTTCTTTTTAGCGCTGCTCGAGTAGCAAAGGACCTGGGCCAGTAGCAGCAGGCTGAGGCCGGCGGACAGAGTGTCCAGCAGAGTAGCCAGAGAGCCCCCAGCCTCCTACAAAAAAAAAAAAGGGTCAGAAAAATCTTAGTGAGATGGCGACAAATCCAGGTGCCACACACCTGTGTGTGAGTGCGGTGGCTGATGTTCACCTGCAGAGAGACGACAACGACACCCAAAGATCCTACACCGGTCAGTGCCACCGACAGCCCGGACAGCTGACCGGTGTGGCCGTGGCTGTAGTTGGTGAAAGTCTGGACAGCCTGAAAACAACATTAAAAACAACAAAAATGTGGGTTTATCAATTCACAATATTTCCATCAGAAAGGTGCAGTTGAACCGTATGGCCTTCTGAATAAGATTTTTTTTTTTTTGCTTTGTGTGACTACAGGTTTTTTTTTTGCCCTGCCACCCGGATTATGATTTTATCTATTTATTTATCTAAAATGATTTTTCTTCCTGTATTTAGGGTTGGCTGTCTTGTTTTTGTGTAAAAAAAAAAAAAGAAAGAAAAAAGCTAAATAAATATACTTTAACAGAAAACAAACAAACAACAAAAATGTTCACCCTCCTCTAAAACATTCACGTCACAGGTCACACACAGCACGGGGACCCTTGAATTCATCATGATACGCTACCTTGCTTGCTATAGCTGCTACGGAGCTGGAGGCCTGAATCAGCGTCACGACCTTAGCAGCCGCACGGGAGGCCAGGAGGAGCATCACCCCGCCACAGCCCGGGAGGAGCAGCAGGCCTACACACACAACAGATCACGTAATGTATAACAGAACTCTAAAGTTATCGGGGAAAAACAAGTGTAAAAGTTGAACAGGAACTTCTACAAATACGTTTGCTGAATACACACATAAAGGTTTATAGCAAACTGTTCTCAGACCTTAGTGAGTAAGTTGTAGATTTCATGTAGAGTCTGATTAAAGAATTTATATTTTAAGTGTTTTCTTTATCTGGACTTTCTTAAATCTTTCAGTGAGAGCAGAAATACATTGTGTGTATTTAGTAAAACTTTGTCGTTGTTTTTTTTTATGACTGCGATGGAATCTGTGAGCTCCCAAAATAACAGGCGAGGTCAACAGAAGGCAGAATCTCAAATATGGTATGAAGCTTTGATTTTTTTTAACATAGTTTGCTGAAAAGACCTCGCTCAGTTGAATTTGAACACTGGTGGGAATGCGTCTGGTTGGAATACGGGAATGCTGACCTTTGAGGGTTTCACCTCGATAATGGAGGATGAGGAAGACGATGGCTGCTGCCTGGGCCACAGTGAGCAGCCTGTCTGCCCAGGCGCTGTGGGGGAGTTACAGAGATATCAGAGAACAGATGAAAAGCAGAAACGCTCTCTGCACGCAGAGTATCTGAGGCCCGCAGAGCTCCGGATGGGGAGTGTGGGCCTGATGGCTCGTGTGGTTTCTGAATGGAGGGCCACCCAGGCTCTAGAGCAAACCGTTTCCTCCCAGAGTATGGGAGTCGTTTCAAACTGCGCCAGGATGCACCTGCCTGAGCCCCGTTTAGTCATCCTTCAGACGCAGTTCTGGACCGGTTCCAGTGGTGTGAGACCTTGTTTTGCCTGTTTCTGAATTACTTACAAAAATGGGAAGTTGTTGGCCTTCGCATAGATGACAGGACATGAGAGAGCATAAAGCTGCAGCAGGGCAGATGTGAGGCTGAGGCCCTCGGCGCTCCCCTTCCAGAGGACCCTCAACAGCTGGGGCAGCTGTGCTGCACGGAGACGCGGTGGGCGTACGGGGGGAAAAGCAGAACCACACAGATAAAGATACACTGGAGGAATGTTCGGGAATGCACATATAAACACGCAAATATGTCACACAAAATGCATGATAGCCTTATTTTTTTGTATCTTAAAAAAAGCTTGCATCACATATCATGACAGTGCATTGCTCTGTGGTATGATTTCTTGTAGTTTCCCCTAAACAGACACCTCTGCATACACGGTAATTCAGCGGCTTCATCACAAGGCCTGATGCTGTCTCTGCTATCCACTCTGACACAGTGAGTTCATCTCAGTTGATTATTAGTGAGAAAACAATAAAACAAGTTCATTGAAAGGAGGAAGCGTCTCATTTTACCCAATAACGTGTCCAGCATTATCCACAACCCGGCAGCCTTGGTCAGGACGTACATTACGCACTGCACTGTGAAGGAAACATTTAAAAAAGCAGTAAAACCAGCGCTGGTTTAGAAAAGGGACGCGATGCCCCCTCTGATCAAACTTTTAGGTCGCTGTTTGACTTAGTTTTTTCGGAGGAAAACCTTCGGCAGCGTCCATGTCCTGCCCCGCATATCTAGATATCACACCTTTCCCAGCTTTGAACCTGCTGTGATGCCACATTCTAACAACGCGAGTCTCACCGTGCCAGTGAAAGTTGACCAAAATCTCCTCGTAGCATTTCTCAGGCATGACATTCCCCACGAGAAGGGCTTTGAAGGGAGACGTGGCCATCGCTGCTCTGCTGCTGCCAAGAATGATCCGCACACACCGGGGAGGGGTTCAAAGGTCCCCCCAAGAAATTTAAGAGGAGTTCATCAACTATCAACGACCCTCTGTATTCTATGATTTGATCCAAAATAATAATGATAAGAAACCCTCTTGAACTTAGAGCAAAACACTTTGTCAGTACAAGCTTTGGAAAGAAAAATAACTCTGCTGGGAGGATTTATTGATAATAAATTAATTACAGTTAACATACAAGTTATGTAAAAGACTCTATCTAGCTTTAAGATTAGACTAAATATGTTGGTTTTAAATATAGCTTGGTGACTTTGAAGCATCCCAAATGACCCATCTCACTTTGCTCTATTTGCTCTACATTTAATAAGAAATTATATTTAACATGTGTCATGCTGCCTCCAGCCCATTGAATACTGGGATAGAACTCCAGTCCCCCGCAACCCCATTTAGGAATAAGTGGTTCAGAAAATGGATGGATGAGGGGGGGGCAGATATTTTTGCTTTAATCAATGCTTGTAAATGTCACACATTTGAAATACAAGTGAAATGAAAAGAGGGAAACATGGTTGTTTTTGCAATTGATTATACAAAGACTGCAGTTACTATGGGCAGTACCTACATTTTAAAGATGTTTTATCTAATGATTGTGGAGAGAATTAACATAAAATGCTATCCTTGATTGGCCCTCAGTGTGATGGATTGAGAGTATAAAGACTTTTAGGCAGCAAGGGATTTCTTCTTATCCTCCTAATCCCTTATCAACAACAGTTCCCTCAGTGTCATCAAGATCATTTATATGCTAACATGAATCTCTTTCTCTAATTTGTTCAAGTTTAATTGTTAGATCTCTGAAAACAGGAAGCGTCTGAGCTAAAAAGGGGGATTTGGGGTGTCTTGGTGAGTGGTCTCTTTTCTTGCTTATTACTCAGTGGTGGAAGCACACAACTTGTTTGTCCTTTTGGTACAAATATCACAAGCACACATCCTCCCTCGGTTAAGCAGCCATGTCGTCTGATGCAGTCTTTTGCATTAAATACAAACTGGAGCACCTTTAAAGTCAGAGAAAAAAATTTGGCACCAGCCGATGATTTATTGGGCAGCCGTTGGGAGTTGGGGGAGAATAAAGCAAGGGTGATAGCGGCTTAATATCTGTCCTTCCTTAAACTTGTTAATAACAAACTTATTTGAGATATGTTTTGGATGGCAATAAAACGGTTATGACCTGTAGCTCTCATTTACACTTTGCAGTTGTTCACTCCGATTGTGTGCGCTGCCGTGTGCGTGGCTGGCACTGTGTACAGTTTCATTGTGGCTATGCTTGGCTTTTATTACGGGTCCCTCTGCAAACAACATGATGGGACCTGGGGAACCCCTTTTAAGGAGAATAAAGCAGCTCTCCGGTTATGACTGTTAACGTACCACAGGCACCTGAAATACCTAACTCAGCATGAGACGTGGGCCCGCTGTAATGAGCCAAAGAACGTGGTGCTGTTCAGCCTGGGACTGTCCATCCCTCTGATGGTGGCCAGCGGCCTGCTCTGGGCCAGTAAGACCATCAACGGCCTCTTCGGCCGACTGTGTGGAACCTGCTACCAGGTAGAGGTAATGACAAGTTTAGGAGAGACAGATCATCTTAACTTCCCCTCAGTACTGCTTGATTTATTTGCTCTTTGTACGTGTTAACTTACAGGAAGCTTGAGCTCGTGTTGAATAGGACCCGTGTCATTTGAGAAGAATGATGCCTGCTGGGAGTGTTTCTGGGATTACTGGCAGAAAATATTTGATGTTCTGTCTGGTGACATTGTTTGATTTGACTTTTTCTTCATGTTTTAACCTGTTACAATGAGCTATGCAGTGAGAAGTATTCTGTTTGTTGCACTGAAATCTGTTAGCAGGAAGAAATTAAGTGGTTAAAAATATATATTGTGTCTGACTGGATCTCTTTCTAAGGACGTTTTTTTTCTAAATGCTGAAGATGTGCTCATTGAATTTTCCAGTGTTTCTTTTCATTCATTTTAAATTAGAATATAATGTTATGTCTTGTGTTAACTTAGTTTTTTTGTTTTTCATCTCTTAGCTTTTACCCAAATTTGATTTTATTTCCAGATCTAAATATAGAGCCAGTGTAAGCTTCTGAGGCTGAATTATATATCTGTGTGGGGTTTAAACTGTTTTTACTCTCCACAACTTGTGCTAATGCCATGCGTTTCTGCGCACTCTCACTGTTTATTTTGAAAGTGACTGATGATCAACTGTACATCTTTGCTTTGTCCCTGCGTGCTCAGTGTTACTGCAGCTGTGAACTTTGTATTTGATCATTCTGTTGATACTTTTTCAGTCAGATGATGAAGACTAAATAAAGTCAGCTCTGCTAAAATGGATAACCCGCCTCGCCCAGTTGTTGCTTAGAGACCACAAATGTTTTACCAAGCTACGTGAAGCAGATTCTATTTTGAATCTCATTTCCTCCATCACTGATAAGATATAGTTCCCTGTTCAATAAATTGCTCACCAGAGAAACCAAAAAAAAAAGAAAGAAGTCCATTCAGTGTTAAACCATCCACAATGAAGACATTTATCAGTGTTTTGCTCATGTCAGTGACACACTGTTCTCGCTCCGCCTGGTCTCCTGCCATGGGTCGAAAGTTCAGCTGTCTCCTCCTCCACCAGTCCCGGTGCCAATGCTGAGCCAAGACAGGATTTAAAACATCTCACACAATCAGAAAGACAGTAGCACCTTACATGAAAAATGTATTGTTCAACAGTGAGCATCATGGCAGTCTGACCATTCAAACCATTTCTACATATGTGTTAATACCAGTAACATCACACCTGACTCAGATAGCCTGACTTCAGTTATAGGGGAAAAAAGGTAAATTGTATGTAAACAATATTTCCAATGACAAAGCGCTGTGTCTCTATGAAACTAATGGAGTGACTCATACATACTTCCTCAGCCTATCCCAGGCTCTGTTTGTCAATGTTATCTGTGGACCTTTGCACCTCCCACTCTCAGCACGCCTTACATTACAAATCCATTTACTGCTTACAGTCAGTTTCAAGGGGGACATCTCTCTGAGAACATAAACCAACTGAGGAGAAACTTACTGAGGGGAGAAGTTTTACAGCAGCCGGTCAAAATGTGCACAGGAAAATGTTCCCGCTGCATTGCAGTTGCTCTGTATCCGCTGGTCCTCATATCCATAATCTGCAACATTGTGCTGTTCTTTCCTGCCGGAGATGTCAAATACGCTAACGACGGGCACATCACAGAGGAGGTGAAATACATGGGGGGGCTTATAGGAGGAGGCGTCATGGTGAGTGATTTTCTTTTTTTCTCGCTTTGAGAAGGCTGCACCCAAAGTTGGAACTAGAATTTGTGCTGTTTCAATGTGGCATGTGGGGCTGATTTGAACTTTTATGGGTGTCATTTAGGCTTTTAAGATGCTTTTTTGTGCTGAATGATAGTCTCAGGTCAGCAGACTGTGTGCAGGTTGACTTTTGCTGTATTTTTTTCTTCCAAAAACCTGTGTGCATGTGCCAACAATTGTGACTAATCGTGGTGATTTTAGGATGAAAGCTGAACTGAATGTGTACTGAAATGAAAGTGTCCTGCTACAGGTGCTGATCCCAGCTCTCCACATTCACTTGACTGGAGCACAGGGCTGCTGTGCAAATCGCTGTGGGGTGAGTCAGACCTGAGTGCAAACAAATGTTTCCACCTTCGTGAGGGCTGTGTTAAGTTCAAATCTCAAACAACAGGAACTACTGACTTATAGCTAGCTCTCTGAGTAGAAAGAAGAAATAGTTGGACATGGAGGAAGTTGCCAATAAATTCATTAAAAAAATACTTGCGCAGTTACAATGTTTGTCACAGAAATCTAATCAATGCTCGTAACGCACTATACTGAGTCTTTAAAAATGCATTTGGGTATGCAGTTCAACCATGTCCAGCAAGAGGTGAGATTTAGTGTTAGTGGAGGTTCATTTTAAGAAAAGACTAAACAAGCTGCTGTCTCACTAAGTCATTACACCACACCTATTTAGACTGATAACGGATTATAAAGCAGACAGGACACAGCTATTTATTCATCCTGTCTTGCAATCTTGTTTTTTAGGGCCTTTTTTTAATTCAAAGAGGTTATCTAAACATTAACGACACATGCAGAAGGATTGTTTAAGGTTGGATCTTGTGAATTCAGTAAGTATAAAGATTATACACGTGCTATTGATGGCAGTTTCTGTTCCCCCCCGGCATTCAAAAAGTTAATGTGGCTGGGAGACATAAATTGGCTTCCACTCGTCTGGGTAGCATGGAGTTAATAATACAGAAGGGGGGGAACAAAACATTGACTGATGAAAAACCGTGAGGAATGTGGAGAATGACAGAAAGTTTAGGGGAAAGCACAGGAGTCTGTTCCTCCTTAAACACTTAAGTGCATCAGCTCTAAACAACCTTTTTGTGTCGCCAAATTGTTTCTGACCTCTGCTCATCATCTTGACTCTTCAGATGTTTTTATCCATTGCGTTCGCTGCCCTGGGTGTGGTTGGCGCCCTGTACAGCCTCGCTGTGGCAGCACTGGGCTTGAAGAATGGGCCCTTATGTAGAAATGTGCTGTTTCTGTGGACAACACCGTTTAAAGACAGGTGACACTCTTGGGTTACTTTCTGATGACACTTGTATGGTTGCCAGGCATATATTTATCTCTAGAACTTGTGTTTTTTTCCAGTGGCAGCGATTACCTGACAGACCAATCATCGTGGGCGAGGTGTAGAGAGCCGGAGAACATTGTGGCGTTTAACATCGGACTGTTCAGCACTCTGCTGGCCACCAGCTGCCTGCAGCTCATTCTCTGCGCCGCTCAGATGATAAACGGGCTCTTTGGCTGTCTGTGTGGGACCTGCGTAGACAAAGGGGTACGACAGTCGCACACATCCAACATTCGTCGGGAGACTGTCCCTTATTGAGAGTTTCTCTTATTTTTCGTGTCTTATGTTTCCAGCCCCTGTGAGGTCCTGGCAGCTGACTGGCACTCTCTGGTGGAAAACTGACTGTAGTCCACTTGGCAGCAAGAAATATTCCCATTAAAATTATTTTCTACTTTTTTTTATATTGTTGTATGTTATATATTATTTTAAAAGCACGGCAAAATCCTAAAAGGAGCATAGCATTTGGCCAGTGGTATGACCTGTAGATGCATATGACAGGTAGTTTATTTTGCTTGTTTGGTCAGCTCAAGGAACCTGTTCATGATTCCCATTTTTAAAAATTCAGGGTTTGTTTGAAAATGTTTTCAAGCTTAAATGTAAAAGATAAATTAATGAAAACAATCAAATATTAAGCTGTGTGCTGTGTTGCTTCTGTTATCATATCCTCTAAATGTGATTGTTTTATGCCACATTTTTGTTTGCTTTTATCTTCTGTGCTCTCTGTGCCTTTTTGACTTTTGCAAACCTGTGAAAAGTGCTACATAAATAAAGCCTACTTACTGAACTCTAACATGTGACAGGTTTCAAGTTACAAATCTATAAAACATGTTTTTTGGAACCTTTGCCAAATGCAATGTGCAGGCGGGAGTTGAGCACCATAAAGACTGACAGTGTGAATGTACACAGACACACACACACAACCACATGCACACACACAGTGGTGACCCAGGAGTGGAACATTACAGGTGCACAAAACAGACATCACTGCTGGACCACAGCCAACAAACAACAGGCCTAAAGCATTTGTCCGATCAGTAAGTTAAAGATGGTGGCCTCACAGGCTGCCTTTTATTGAAAAGCTTTCTAAAAATATATATTTTTATTCAAATTTGAACACACTGAAAATGACTGCCTTTGATGGTAAATAAAATACGACACATCTTTGTCAATGATATCTTTAATGTAACTTGCGTTATCACAATTTATTTTAGTACCAATCAACAAATGATTCATATATTTTGCAATTAATCAATAAAAGGCATTTCTGAATATTTACTTTAAAAGGAAAACTACTGGGAAATCAGATTTTAAAGTACACAAGCGCTGGAACAAAGAATCAAGGATACAGAAGGTAATTGGCACACCAACGATTTTTCAATAAAAAAAACTATAGCTTATGCAAGGAAGAGGCAAAAATACAGTGTTCCAAAAGGCAAAGAGAATGGAGAAAAAAATGGAGTGAAGTTTGGCAAAGCAATGCAAAAAAAACTACGAGGGAAAACCTGGCTCAGACCACGCTGACGTTTTGCACCTCTCCTGAGACCCGGTTGGTCTCCAGTGAGCCGACGTGAAGTCATTTATCAGCTAAACCTGTTATTCTACAGCAGAATAGAGATGTGTTAAAAACAGGAGTTCATATAAGGAAGCAAATGACTCCATGATAAAGACAAAGTCACCACAGCACGGCTCAGGGAACCTTTACGAATTAGTCCCCCCTAATATTTTTCTAACTATAAAATCTGAACGCTGGATGGTTAAAAATCCAGTTTAATGGTTTGTGCAATAATGAGAACCTCACAACTCAACGAAGTCTTGTTCTTATTCGTGTGCCCTTCGGCAGATAAAGAAATGCATTTGCAGACACAGCGCTGTTGAGGTAGCCATAACAGGAGTGTTGAAAGTTTTTGATGGAGAGGTTGTCTGTTCTTCTGCCCCACGCGTTTCTTCTGTTAGACTGAATTAACATGTATAAAAAAAAGATTTAGAACTAAAAGGAATTAACATCAGGGTTAACACACATGTAAACAACCTGTTTTTTTTGTTCTGAACTATCAAAAGAGAAGCTTGTGGCAGTTTCAGGACCAAAGCCAGATCCCATACGTGTGCTCGTTTTGCCTGGTGTCTCAATGGCCGCCGCCTCCTCTGAGTTTAGGCGTATGGAGGAGTTCAGCTGTCGAACTGCTTCATCATCAGTTTCCGGCTGACCTCATAACCCAGGAACAGGGCTCCGTTGGCCGGGAAGGTCCGGACCATGGTGGGGGTGAGACCGGAGTAGAGCGCCCTCACGCCTGCACAGGTGGGGGGGGCAAACAGCCGTACAGTTTCATCATCAAGACAAACAGGAATCTCTCCTTTTTCTAAGGCCCCCCCGCTCCGGCTTACCTTCAGCGCGAGCGATGGTCATGAAGGTTTTGAAGAAGCCTGCCTGTTTGCCCGTCATGGACATGACCTGGATCCGAGATTTGACGCAGTCCATCGGATAGACCACCAGCCACAGCAGCGCCCCCCCAAAACCGCCGCTGAACACGATTGGACCCACACCTTAACAACCACACGGCAACCGGTTACATCATTCACACAGTCACGTGACACAAAGGCTGCTAAACCCGGTTTTAAAGCCTCACGAGGGTCCTGCCTCAGCATTTCTATCCGGCTGAGGTCTGAACTTTGACCGGAGCGCCTTCCATCTTTGTCCACAGACAGCCTGCTGTAGGTTCGCTACCGTGTTTGGGCCCATTGTCATGTCGATGACCCAGTTTCGGCTGAGCTTTAGCTGTTGGGCCTCACATTTAGCCTGAGAAACAACTCAGCTGTGCAGCACCGCGCTTGGCTTTTGTCCGGGCTGATGTTTGGTTTTTAACAAACAGGCGTTGTTGCATGAACACCGAACATCTGCACCTGGATCTTAACTGCCCAGAGGACATCGTCTCAGAAATACTGGGGCTTGCTCAGAAACATTTTGCTGTCATGTTCTCTGTGGAGTGAAGAGGCTTTTTCTCCTACAACCCGTCCAAACAGACCATCGCTATGTGGTCTGTCATAAACTTTAACATTTAGCATGCTAACTGGAGCCTGCTGAGTCTTTCTGGGAGGTCCGTTGACACTAGGGTGAAACTGTTGAAAAGTTCACTTCTGGGAAGACTGCCAGCTGCCTTGAATGTTTTCCACTGTTGAATAATCTCTCTCACTGTAGAATAGATTCCAAAGAATCAGGAAATTACCTTGTAACCTTTTCCAGATTAATTTGCCCTTACTGCTGCTTTTGCTAAAATCTTCCTCCTTAACATTGTGGTAACACAAACACTGAATGTACCTTATGCTGGGGGGGTACTTTGAACATACCTATGTCGTCCTTCCCACATTTCATGTAGTCGGCAAAGGCGGTGCGGGAGAGCTCATATCCCCCAAAGAAGCAGAAGTATCCGGGCACCTCTCTGGCTATGGTGGTGGTCAGGCCCTGGAAGAAGCCCTGCGGCCCCTCGTTCCTCATTATGGATTTGACCACCGACCACACGGTGCTTCACACGGAGCAGGTGGGCAGTTAGTCAGGCACAAGACACACAACCAGCCAAATATGCACATTATATTAATAATAATTTGGCATCTGAAAATAACTTTGGTTTTAAGCAATTATCTATAAAGTAAACTCACTTTCTACTTTTTGGCTTTTAACACAGTGTGATTGATTTGACTGTTTCTTCAGAGTCTGTTTTCATATGATTTTAATTTTTCTCCTCTGTTTTGTGCTGGATTATAAAACCAATTGAGTGCAGAACAAAACCCCAGAGACCAAAATCTACAATTCTTATCAGGATTGATTTAGTAATCATCTCTAACATTCTTTTTTTGTTGGTTGTTGCCTGGCATTTTTTTTAACTGTCCACGATCCATGTGGATACAATACACTGGAGATAATCTGGGATGAAAAATGGAGCTTAACACATGGCCTACATACACACGTATTTAAACCTCGCTTACTTGTGGCTCTTGGCGATCTTGCCCGAAGTCTCCATTTCATACATAGCTTGCAGTCGGCATTTGACGAGCTCGGTGGGGCAGAGGACCAGAGAAGAGAAGATGGAAGCCACTGACCCGGCGCAGGCTTTCTGCACGTCACTGCCAAAGAGGGAAAGGGGGATCAGAGACTCACACCCTGGGCCGGCGTTGGCAACAACAGACAGTGAGGGTCAGGTCCTGCTACCTGAGCACGGCCTCGGGGTGCAGTCCAGCCGTGAAGCGGATGACCTGCTGGCAGAACCCGTAGCTCATGAACAGCACCGAGTTCTCGGCGATGTTGGCCACCAGCGCCGGCGTGGTGCCCTGGTAGAGGCCGCGCACGCCCACTTGTTTGTAGGTGGACATGACGCAGTGGATGAAACCCCGGTACATGGTGGGGAAAGTCTGCATCTTGACCTTTGCCGTGTCCAGAGGCTGCCCGCTGAAGACGCAGGCGGCTCCCCCTCAAAGGGCGACATTGAGAAAATTGTCAGCGAGGGAAGCGACGGCAAAAAGAGCACGGGGAGGCAACGCGCAAACCCCGGGAGAGCAAATCCTTTGAGCTCTGACCAGAGATAAGAATCAGAGGGCGTTGCAGCCTGTTGCACTCAAATGAGCAAAAATAAACAGTGGACGGAAACAAAGAGAAACCAGCTGGCTCATGAAAATGTCTTCCTCATGCAGTGCACCAGCCTCCCAGTTAAATCACAGACAAAACACTTTTACACACGACTCATGCCGTCATATTTGTTAAACAGATTTGAACAGGTGAGGACTTTTAACTACCGATGGCTCCTGAAGAGAGATCGATGATGGCCTGGACCACTGGGTGTGGAGCCATGACGGTCGGAGGGGGTTTCTCCTTCTCTCAGCTACCTAACACATAGAAAGAGCACTCTGGTTATTACCGGGGATTGGACACTTTACTGCTGTGGGTAAAGTGTCCGTCTCATTACAGGGATTGGCTATTAGGTCACACAAAAGTTGTGTGGGGAAAGCTTGCTGTAAAAACAGGTGCTGCTATCGGTCAAAACCATAATTATTAACAAGCAAAGAGTGGATTTGCACCTGGGCCAACATGTGGATGTGCAAGCCCTGAAAACAAAGTCATTTAGAAACACAATCAGATGGATTTAAATGAATAAATGCATCAGAAATTATTTTCAGTCTTTAGTCTTTCGAGGTCAAACAAGAGGTTATACAAGAACAAAAAACAGAACAATGAGAAGATAAACGGAATAAGGGCAGCGGGACTGCTGCTGATGACGTAACCTAATTGCCCTGTAAGTGTAGCTGCGGCCATCAGAGGGCGAGAATGACCGCTCACTGCCCGGCACATAAATGTGTTTCTTAAAGGCCAACGTGTGAAATATGAGCCTAAGTCCCCCCCCCCCACACCAAAGATTAGAGAGCAAAAGGTCAAAGAAGTTTTGCACGGAGCTAGAGTAATCAAACAGGAAAATCCAACAAACCAACAAAAGCTCGTTTTCTGTCGCGACATTAAACACTTAACCGGTAAGTGTTCGACAGACTTTGTTAATTTTGATATACAAACCTCGCAAGAAAGCGACGTGTTCAACGTGTGGCATCAAAGTGTCACTGAGGTCAGTGTGTCAGACATGAGGAGTGATAAGGATCCTGTGGGCGGCTGACCGATATGAGCATCATTAACGGCCGAGGGCATGCTGGACACCCCCCCACAGACTGAACGTGCACAGTTTACTGCCATCTAACGTCAAACATCTGCCCCCGTGCCCCAATAGCTGCCGATGAATCGATCAGCCATCAGGGATGTCACACCGTGTGCAGGAGGAGAGCGCAGAGGTGGTTTCACACCCCAAAAACGCAGAGCGCCCACTCTGCTCATAATTAAGGAACCCAAATCTGACACCGTGCTTCCGAACAGCTTCACAGAGTAGACTGACAACAAAACACCGTAAGGAGCTTCAGTTTTTTTTATATACAACTGCTACACGAACATGGTGTACAGCAATGACGTATTTCATCATCTGAATTTGACAGGACGTTATTGTATCGATAGAGCTAAAACGACACGGAAAAATGTGTCTGGTGTGAGCATCTAAATACACGATCTTTGCACAGAAACCGCATCCAATGGACCCCAGTGTAAAACTTCCGGTTCAAACTACTTTCAAAATAAAGTTTCATACTTGTGCAGCATGGTAGAGCTCCCCCACGTGTTTTTCCCAAAAGTTACAGCACGACGATGTCAAGATCAGTGTGCAGAATAAGTAGAATAACTTTATAAAGCAAAATTTGCAACCTAACGTGTAATTAAGTAATGGGATTGGACAGTTATTACAGTAATTTTCAAAGCAACCAAACATACAAATCTAATAACAAGGCCACTGTGTAAAGTTTCCATAATAATAAATCTTAAAGAAAATATATGGCAAAGTCCTGCACTTTTTACTTAAAAACTAAACCCTGAACCTTGGCAATACATGAATCAGTCACAGACCAAACAAATAATTACTCTGAATGTGCCATTCTTGATAAAAGCAACCCAGGGAGTTCTCTTTTTTCTAATCTTTGTTCATAATGACCTTACCTGATGTGTCAGTCAGTGTCTGGGAGAACATTCCCTCACTTTACACAGGCAGAACAGCACACAATCTCACAGCCCTGCATATGTATTGATAAGTGATTTTATCGCTTTCCTGCTTGAAACTCTTCTGCTGTGTAAATCACTTATGAATAGATAATAATCAGTTGTTAATTAAAAGTTTTAAATCTTTTATAGAATCACACATGTATCTGCTTAACCACTACCACTGGATGTGATTATTTGATATGCAGATTTTTAGAGGTAAGTCTAAGAATATTTCTGTGGTGCATTTCAGGAAAAAAAACGTACCTTATATTTTCAATAAAATTCTAATACATAAAATGACTTAATGTGTGATACCAGTTTCCTGACTTTGAGTACGCATGTCCTTTTCTAAAGGAAAAAAAACTACTCCGAAAAAAACTGTCATGAACTGAAGAAAAACCAACGAAAAGTAAATTATTATATATCTTTTGTATATATACAGTATATCTTTTACCTTAATGAATAAAAGGAAATGAACTGCCAACATAATCACAATGTGGCAAAGTTTGTTTTCCAACCAGAAGGTCAAATGTGCAATTAATAGTATAATAATTTTAATAAATCTATAATGATAATCCAACGGTAGCCAGTAAATGTTAAAAATAATAATATAATTGTTTCTTAACTGTTTAAGTTGTACCTTCATAAATTCATCCAATTTCTATGAACAAATGTAACTGATAAATTCTTGTTTTGTCCACTGCTGAGTTTCCTTCATTCTTTTAATCCTCTTTGATGAGGAAAAATCAACATAATTACATCAGGTGGATAACAGAGAATATAACTTCTTTGTTATTCACCTTGAATACTGTCAAAATACCATCTGTTTAAGCAGAGTAGCCTGGGATTAAATAAACATGCCCTCAGCTCACAGGCTTATCCTTTAAAACTCAGCCCTGTGATGGCTTACTGTACAGTAGTCTAGACTTATATGTTGTCACCAAAGTAGATTTTTGACACCAAAAGAGGGACAATCAACAAAAGACATGGTTTTCCGTTTTTTTTTTATATTACTTGGGCTTTTATCAAAAGAAAAAAAAACATTGACGCTGTCTACATCACAGACAAGAATCATCAATATTCTGTTTTAAACAATTTTGCCATGAACAATATGATTCCCCCCCACCCCCGCCCCCCCCCATCCATGCCCGCCCCTCCCCTTGACCAAACTCCTCTGTACACAGTAAACTTTACATCCCTATAGTTCCTGTTCATCCTTTTTACAATTTATAATTATCAAAGTAGTGTCATTAGCTTTAAAATACATATGATGCTCTTTCCATTGTAATTATAATCGCTATCCTGATTGTACATACAGTATCATTTCCCACACTTAGAGTCTGCTGCATAATTTCATCAGCGTTGTTTAAACAAAACATTCCAAAGAGAGAAGCGCATCCATGTCTTTTCACCAAAACAAAACACTCAGCGGAGTCCTGATGATCAATCGATGAGAAGCATTCTGTCCTAACACTGTATGGGAGTAGCAACACTGCAGAGAGCCGGACATTTACTGAAATCCAGCACACTATATCTGTGCGGCCCTCCTGAAACATTTCCAGACTGACTGTCCAGAGGCTTTACAGTAGCACCAACTGTTGCGTCTGCTCGGATTTGAGATTATGAGGTACAGTCAGAGAATTGCGCTAATCCACAATTAGAAGAGTAGCACTGCAGGAATAACAATGGGATTATAGAAGATCACTTCAACAAGAGAAATTTACAGAACATTTAATTAATTTGTTATAGATTGACAGTACGGTGGATAGGGCTCACTCAATAATCTTTAAACTACTGAATAAAGGGACAGACATATTTTTGCTTTTGGTGTATTATCCTTGGTGATGGAGGGCTTTAAACCCTCAGGTGTCACACCCTCACAGCTGTGGCGTGTGAAGCCTCGACACTACCGGCCAAAAGTTGAGCAAATGCCCGAATTCCTCAGCACAGGACTGAGGAACCTCTGCTCTGTGTAATGGAAAGATCTGGACATTTCCAAACATATTTTTCATATTAATGTGCAATCACTCTTAAACGCCAGGATCACAATGATTCAGTCAGTGAGCCCGAGTGCTGTGAACAATTAACACTCCATCTAAATGTGGGAAAAGTTACTAATGTCAGAAACATACCAAGAAATTCTTTTTGTTTGTACCCTGTATAAAATACAACCATAGCCCTGGACTCAAAGACAAATTGGATCCTCATGTACAGTTCATCACTTTCTTGATTTCCAACAAACGTTTTCTGATTCAATGTACAGTGTTATTAATGCCACTACAAGGTCAAAATCACCATCAGGGGCTCTGGCTACAGCCGTCACACAACTAGAACAAAAACACAACTTCAGAAAGAAAAGCTGACTCCATCTCAATTTGAACTTTCTTTTTCTTTTTTGGCTGTCATGAAGGTTTTGATAAATCAATTCACTGATTGAATCTTATTATGAATTGTTTTTGGCAATTTGCACGACAGCAGCAGAAATGGAACCAATGAGGAGGTAATGAGCATTAAGACCTGATTCCCAAGTCCAACGGATGAGTGTGCCAAGAACGTTACGCTACTCACCACCTCTGAGAACTGAATCCACGTCCAGACGATCAGAGTAACACACAATTAGTTTAGTTCTAGCCCAGATGAGCCGTCACTAGCAACCTCCCCTCCCTTTATGATTGTTCACAGGTTCAAGTCTACTGTAAACCCAAAGTAAAGTAAAGTCGGTACAGAGTTAATTTAGCTTATATACAGGACTCTTCTTGGTGTAAAAAACGGGGAAGTTAAAATAGAGAACATCTTCAAATCAGATTGTGCCATGTAAAATCGTAATGTACAAGATGCTTAGTTTCAGCTGTCTGTTGCATCTGCCTGACTCGGTTCACTGTCAGTCACGATGAACAAGAAGCTATTTAGTAGTTGGCGAGAATTCGCTAAAAATGGGACGGTAGGGTCAGATGTGAACACGTCTCGGAAGGGCAATCTTTTACAAGAAAAAGAAGTGAGGAGGGGATTTTTTGTGTTGCTGTTTTCTTAAAGCCAACAGAAAGAAGGAGGGTGTGTGTGCGTACATCGTGGCTGAAGTGTTAGGCACTGCAAAAGAATAAAAAACAAATAAAGAGATCGCTCAAATGTTTCTAATTAATGCAATAAGGCAATCTGATTATGGTTGAATGGCAGAAAAGTCAAGTTTCCAGTTTGTCCTCTGCAGTTCCACTTTTACACAAATTTAGACTCAAGAGAGAAACAACACTTTTTCCCCCAGCTTTACAACCCATTTGAAGATCACCTGTGTAAAAACAGCTACAATCAAAAATGAGGCACTTTATAAAAGAGTATATAGATATCTATCTAGGCTATATAATATGAATCATTATATGTAGACTGTATATTTGATATATCATTGTAACGTGTCACTTCATATTAGATTTGTCTTAACTGTGAATCAGGAGAACTTACTACAGTATGTACTATAGTTTTTGTCATTCTACTTGCATTACTATAGTATATACCATAGTTTAATATACAGATGTAATACAAAAGCTCAGTGGCCAAAAAATGTATTTAAACTTCTTTGGAATGATTTTGTGCTACATGTTTTACTTCAAAATGGTCAAGTCAAGGAAATGACATGAGATCGTTTATTACTGAGGCCTTTCTTGTTATCTGAGTTTACCATTTGATGAAGAAATATGCTGTTTTTGGTACTATCTCTGGTACTATCTCTGAGTTTTCATTACAACAAGGCAGATGAACTTTGACCCATTCCAAATCTATTCTCCTCATCAAAGGATAATTTTCCTTTTGTATGTCAGTGACTAAGATGGCTTTCATTTAGGCAGCTCTTTCCCTCAGACCGGTTGTCTCTATACCATCTCCAAACCCGCCTGGCTTTGTGACTCAGGCCTCATGTAATTGATTTGACAGTCATGTGTCAGCTTCAGCTGAAATACTGTTATTAAGTGGAATCTGAGGGTGGAGGGGAGATTGCAGCACTCAGTCCATTTGACTCCTCAGAGCGTGTGCTGGTTTTAGTCTGCAGATCTTTGTTTGAATATAAAGAGCTGCTGGAACACTTAGGCTGTCTTCCCCATGCTTTCCCTCAACAGCATGTTTTCTATCAGGTCTCTTAAGCAGTTTTTAGTGAGGAAATGTACATTCATATGAGCTAATTATTGTCCTCACTGGATATCAATATGACCCTCAGCAGAAAGGTATGTTAATTATGCTGCCTTTTACTTAGTTTTGACCATGATTTTTGAATAACTGCATTGTTGTGCCAGCTTTGCAGTATGACTCATTAGTAACTCTCACAGAACGGGTGTATGAAAGCTGCAGCCTTTTAACCTCAAAGATAATGCCGTACAGCCTATGTTAGCCCTTTTTTTTTCTCAATGACTAATGTAATATAGTTTTACATTTTGGAAAAGCATCTCACTTTCCAAACAAAATCTTAAAATCAATACAGTGAATACTCTTTAAATGTCATTAAACCTTCATAACTGAGATGAATAAATAATTTGAATTAAGATTTTACAATATAATACTTATAAGTTAGTTCCAGAAGCAGCAAGTTATGGTGATAAATTCCCAAATTTGAGCATATTTGAAGTCCTTTAGTGGCACGACATCAGTTACCAAGAAGCTTAAATGCTTTTCTGAGCAACTGTTCATTATAAATTAAATATGTTTACAGTGACAGGATGTGTGTATGTGTATGAACCATCCATCGAACTATATTCTCCTTCTTAATTTTTGTTAAAATTACACCTGATAATCATTTAATTTCTATGTACAAAGGAGGACAAAATCAGCTGACACTGTAGCAACGAATCAGCTGAAGTTTTGAGGCTTGAATTATCAACCTTCTATGGACCAATCACAGTCAACTGGGTTTTAAAATCCGGATTTAGAGATCAATTCTAGATATTTCTGTGACTCCCTGAAAGTGTTATTGAGATGCCACTATTGAAGTGGAATATCAGCTAGCATAAACGTGAGGGGCATCTGTGGCTTCTCATCCTGCCTCTGTAGTTAAATGAAGATCAAATGCCATTTTTATACGAAAACAAGACAAATGAGCACATCTTTTCCTTATGCCGTGTTTGTGTGAGTGTGTGTATGTACGTGTGCGTGTCTGTTTGGCACACATTTGGTTGACAGAAAACAGCAGGCGGGAAGGGGATGAGATTTCCGGGGTTTCGGTGTTCAGACGGTGAAGAGTTTCTGTTGTGGCAACAGATCGGACTGCCAGTCATCCCCTCGCAGGCTGAGAGCGAAGCTGTCACACCAGCGTCATGCCGACATCCAAGACAAAGATGGAGATCAACAGTCTGGAGTTAACAAGAGAAAAGCAGACAGGGATTCATTTTTATTTTACGCGCACATTTTTTCACTGAAACATTTTTAAAACATGTCTAATGCAAGACCCCTAACTGAAAACGCTACAGCAGACAAAGATGGCCCGTCTAGATTAAATAGGTGAAAAGGCACACTGCTTTTGTTTAATCTAGAGCTTTTGTTGGGAGCTTGGAAAAAAAAAATCACATGATGCTTGATATCTCTTTAGAAGGATTTTCTGATTGGCCTCAGGGCCATTGTTTCTGTTGTCAATATTATGTGTATTTCCATCAGCTTTATCAGCTGTTTCTTCTCTTTATGAGCCACCTCAATAACACAAAGTCTCCAGCACTCTAATACAGCCCCACAAAATAAGGCCAGAGGCCCCGACAAGCAAGCATCTGTTTTTTTTTAAACTCGTTTTGAGCAAACAAAGTTAACTATCTCACGGTACGGTACTATGGAGTACTACAAGCATCGGTAAACATCCCAGTGACTGCAGCAGCGTTTATGTGCTTTTGCTTGTTTGGTTTTACCTCTGTGTGTACCTACAAAACCTGAAATTAGACTGTGTTTTTTGCTTTGACACTAAAAGAAGGATTTTTAGGAGGATGGTTAAAACCTACAGGACAATCTGCTGATGCTACAACACTTCTGTTCCAAAATATGGCACAAATGAAGGAATCTGTCTTATTATGAAGTTACATTACAGTTAAGTTCAATTGTTATCAGAACATGCTTGGAGATAATGACAGTCAGACAGCCAGTTTGGTTTGCGCATTAAGAAATCAAATAAGTAAGTCAAACAAATCCTTGTTTGGATTTTTTTGTTCCACTTAGGATAAGGCGTCTGCTGAACAGTTTATTTTCACTTGAATAAAGTGTCCACTGTAGCCTTTACTTTGTGTCAAGTAGAAGATATATATTTCTGATGTATTCCTGAGTAAATTAATCAAAAAAGAAATTCAACTGCTAACATTAACCGTTTACGGCTCTGTCGTCCATGCAGAGCAAGGGAAACCTCAAAGCTCCCATCCTTCCGCCAACAGCACACCCACACATAAACATAAACACCTGGCCCGCATTCTGTCCCGTCTCCCTCCATTCATGTGAAATGGCTCGTTACCAGCAGACAAATCAATTGGCTCTGCTCTCTGAACACCCACTTGTGATAATAAGAGACTCTACAAACAGCCCACAGACTGGAGGAACAGTGCAGCCCACCAGCTTCAAGCGACAGCATACATCGTTTAAAAATGTAACGAAGATCTGACTAAGGCCCAGACCAGAGACTATTGACAATATGTTATTATATGTTTATAACCATAAAAAAAAATAACATGGTTTGCTGTTTTAGCAATTTGTCAATAAGTCTGTAAATTTCAGTATATTACAATTAGGACGCCAACTTTTGATGAACAAAAACAAATCTGATTTTTCTTCGCTTACCCATACTTATGCAGAAATATTTGGTTAGTCTATTATTCTACTATGAAAAGAAAAATAGTTGCGTCAGTTTTGCTGTTATATAATAATCAAATCAAATATATATTACTATATATAGAACTTTTTTTTTTTTTTAAATCAAACCTATGGCTTATTTACGCATTTTTCCCCAGCAAAGACATCCAATTTTCAATCTCTGAATCATATCAGAAAACATTATTGGTTCTGTATTTGTGTACATGATGTGTGAAATTAAATACTGATGCATTTGTAGCAGACATCCTTTTGCCCTGTTCCTTATTTTCTGTGGTGACAACAGCACAAAAAAAAACTGACACTAACTGATTGTTTTCTAGAGGACAAAGAAGTTGTCAGAAAATACAGCCTCCGTCTTTAACATCTTCTTGTCTATAAATATATGGAACCAATGTTTTAGGAAGAGCTAAGTTTGAACATGTTAAAGCACTCACCTTGACCCTCCTTTCTACTGTTCTGGTTTGTTCTCAGTTCTTCTGACTTATAGAAATCAATACTGGCGTATGTGTTGATGCCAGAGCCAGTGCTGCTTCCCATAGCACTTCCTCCGGCGTTGTAGGTGGGAGAGCTGCGCTCCCCTCCAACCGGAGGACTCTCCTTAATTGCCAGGTCAAGGTCGATGTAGTTAAGGCCTTGTTCGACGGATGAGGTGGAGGCTTGAGGTGGAGGGGTGGCAGACAAACCGGCAGCCTGGCCGTTGTCCCACAGGGAGCAGTCTAAGCCCTGGCGCTGGCCTGCTGCCTGGCTGCCCTCTGGGAACACGGAGGTAGACGCTGATGCGTGGTGCGGTAGCGAGTTGGGTGAGTTAAATGTCTCCGAGCGGTGGCTCAGGTGTCCCTGTTGCTCGCCCCGGACCAGCCTGCTGCTCCGGTCAGGAGACTGGAAAGACTTGACAGGGGAGAAAGCCAAACTTGTCTCCTTCTCCATAGATAAGGGTTGACCAGGGTGGATGGCAGGTTTTGCTGAGATGCTGGGATCTGATTCCTTGCTGTCCCTAAACTGGTGGGGGGAATCTGGCATTGCTGCCATCTTTATTTTTGTTCTGTACCCCGGGTTGCCCTCTGCCGCCAGAGGAGAGGATGTGCTGTGTTCGTGTCGGGGCTTGGGGGCAACAACCGGTGGGTCCCGGAGAGCGCTAAAAGTGGATCTGACATGAGTCAGCGGTGTTGACGACTTCCCTAAATCCATGCTGACGTACTCGGCGGAGGTGGAAAGCGGCGCAGAGAGGCTGCGGGAGAGGTTGGCAGGATTATCGTGGCAGATGAGGGGTTGATTTAAGGGCCGCAGAGTTCCGTGGATTACCGGTTGTCTGTGCTGAGACCCTGCACGTCGCCCCTCCTCATATTTATTATCGTCCTTGAAGACAATACTGACATACTCACCAACATTCTGGGACGCTGATGGTGGCAGGTTCTCCTTAACCCTGGGTAGGGTGTTAGCTTTAGCGATGTCTGAGGAGACACTGAGAGGACGACCCCGTCTCTGTTGCTTTGGACTCTTACTACTTGATACGCGCTTTTGGTGGTGGCGTCCCTCTTTCGTGCTTGTTCCTGCGCTCTTGTATTCTGCTCCTGTTCTTAACAGACTTAACCCTCTCCCTGCTGATATGGACTTGTCTTCAAGGCTTTCACTGCTAGCAGAGCTAGAGGAAAACGAAGAGGAAGACATGGAGAGTTGGCAGCCTCCCGCAGAGCCCACTGCTATTTTATTTCTCTTGCTATATCCTACTCCCCCTCCCCTTCCAGCACCATCGTGCCCACTGCTGTCTTTTTGGCCTTCCTCTTTGTTTAAGTCTTCCTCGAAGCGAGTGTAGAGAGTATGCTGATAGGCTCGGGGCAAGGAAAAGTAGGAATTCAGCATTTTGGGCTGCAGCTGATGCTGCTCGGGGTGGTATGGCGGCGTGCTGCAGGCCGAGCGGCTGCTGACGGGCGAGACGTTCATGTAGTCGCTGGCAGCCCGGCTCTCCATGCCCGCCCTGCTCTCCCACATGCTCAGCCCGTGCAGGTCTGTGGAGCTGCTGCTATTGGGGGACATGAGCATGTAGCCCTCTGAGCTGGGCTGGCGGATGTGCTGGGGAGGGGACACGCTGTTGTTAGGGGTCATGGCCATATATTCATCTTCTGCGCCAGCTTTAGCGCTGGCGTCAGACATACCTATCGAGAGAGAAAGTGAAACAGGAGGAGACGTCACTCCAGGCAACATTGACATATAGCCGCTATCCAAAGCTGCACCTGTGACCACTTCTCCCCTACTTTTCTCAGTTTTCCTCCTATTCTCACCTACTGCGTCTCTAACAGGCAGATTCCCTGAGCCATGCTGCAAAGCAGCTCGCTCTCTCTGAGTGCTCTGTGACATGATGGCATATTCTTCATCATCCTCGTCATCTTCGTCTTTTCTTTGTGGTGTCAGTCGCTCATGAGACGCCAAAGGCAGGGAGGCTCTTTTGCTTAGCAGCCTTCGTTCAGCCTCAGATTCCCGACTAGATGAGCGCCTCAGGATCCGCCTTCCTTTGGAGCGGTGATGGGAGCCCAGCAGACCCTCTCGCTGTCCCATCACTATGTAGCTGGAGGAGCCCTCCCCGTGGACATGATGTCCAGATAGACTGGGCATGAGCAGAGAGTGTTCACCGGGGCTGGACCCATACTCGTCCGAGGATCCGTAGTCGCTCGGTGACCCTGAAACAGAGACCCTTTGAGAAACCCGAGGGTAGGAGCAGATTGTCATGCCTCCCACAGCGGCCCCCACCAGACCGCACTCTGATCCATGACCGGAGCTGGACGACAGGCTCGGGGCCGGAGAGGGAGCGGGGTTAGGGGTGTATCGCGCGAGGCTGAGGGTAATCTTGGCGGGGGTCGGGGCCCTGGTGGGCTTGGGCCTCAGCGTGGGCGTGGTGGAGCAGGACCCGTTCAGACTTGGACTGGAGCTGGCCCAGGTCCCTCTGGCACTCGCTCCACTCTCCTCCGATCTGGCCCCGATGCTGGCCGTCCGCGCCCTCGGGAACCCGTGGCGGGACGTCGGCGAAGTGCTCGTGCTGCTGCCTCCCGTCCCGGGGGTCTCGGTCCGGGCCCGTCTCGAGAAGCCCACCTGGCTCGGCGGCAGATTGGGGTGGTGGCGGCGACTCGGGACGCTGATGGGGTTTGAGGCGGTGCCCCCGCCGCACGACGTGCCGACAGACTGAGACTTACTGCGCTGGCGGAACTCCTCGCTCAAGGCCTTCATGGCCTCCAGCAGGGTCTCGTGCATGTTCTGAGCCACCACAGAGTCGTCCACTTGCATCCAGAACTCTCCAGGACCGGTGATCGCTGAGCGTCCCACCTCAATGAAGAAGAAATTCTCTGAATGGCCACACCTGCGAACATTCATCAGTTGCAGGACCACAGAAGCCACATCCGAATTGAGCTTGACGAAGTTGACCGTCTTGTCAGTTAGGCACAGCCGGTAGATTCCCACTAAGTTCCTGGCATGTCCCAGACCTTTGGGCCAAACCTTGACCTGCCATACTTCCTTGAAGGTTGGAATAGGAGAGGGAGAGCTGCACTCTCCACTACTGCCGTAATCTTCAGGCGTTTTACCTGAGAAAACAGAGAGCAGAATCGTCAACCTAATTCATGTGTTAAATGAATTAATTCCCAGCACAGGGAAATGTTACAATAATTAGTCATCATCTTCCTTTATCCCGTCTTTATTTGTCTTCCTTTTTAATTCCAATATCTGCATGGCCACATAAAACATTCTTTACTATATCTGCCAGGCTGCCTGCTGCAGCCAATTAATCACAGTCACTTTTAAGCTACGGCTCATAATTAATTAAGTCTTATGTTGCATAGAAAACACCCACTGAAAAGCAGCATTCTGAACTGTAAAACAATCATTCAATGCAAAGCCGGTCAAATGAGAAGTCTCAGACGTGTCTGTTGTTGCCTAACAGCCACTGTTATCATCTCAACTAAAACATCATTTTTTTCAAACTCACTGACACATAAAGGTGTTTCGACCTTTTTTTTATTTTTCTGGTATACATCAAAAGTGGAATATCAGTGTTTGGCTGTGGACATCCCCCAGCCGAAACCACAACAAAATGGGGTTGTGTACTCCACCGCGTATCTGTTCAGGGTTCCACAACAACACATCAGAGCTGGGCAAGCCCATCAGTCTCCACTAACTGAGATGCAAAGAGGGGGGTGGGGAGAGAGGGGGGTGGGGGGGGGGGGGGGGGGCTGGATGGCGGTGCTATGCTCCATCGTAAGGAAAAGAACGTAAACACGAGGATAACCAACAGAAACGCATTCTCCAGCTAGAGCTCCCTGGCTGTGCCGTCTCCTCCCTGCCAGCAGCACCGCGCAGCGCGAATGTAGGTTAGTTAGGCGAGCGGCAGGCAGGCAGGCAGGGCTGTGCAGAAAAACAAAAACACAAGCTGCAGCAGAGTGCGCGGCGATAGGCTACTACTATATGATGCATCTCTGGGATGGTTGCTATATGCCCACTGCGCCATGCAAAACACACCGCCGTGCGAAACGGGCTAGACCTCAGCCAGAAAAGGGCGACTGCCCGCCGTTATTACATGTTATTACACGCAATGCGCCGGGGCCATCTAATGCATTTTAGAAAACCATCATTATGACCGGGATGAACCGAGGCTTTTTTTCTTTTTTTTTTCAGATTGTGCTGCAAAAACACACAGCACATGCCGCCCATGAGCGTGATGGTCTATCCCGCTCAGTCAGATCCACCTGCCTCGCGGTTAAAAAAAAAACACAAACACACACTCACACACACACAATCTAAATGCTGATGTTTGGACCCATTTATATTCATTTGATTAATACAGTGAACCTGCGAGACTAAGTCAAACCATTCCAGCCAGGGAGATGGAGATATGAAACAGTGTGTGGAGAACAAACACCCCGGGGCAGGATGGGCCTGCTGCAGAAGCAGAGAGGGGAAATCACACCGCACCGACTGTCATAGCTTACAGTTGCACTGGAGGTCCAGCATGGCTTGGTACCACTCGTTCTGGACCTCCTCGCTGTCCGCCGCGATGGCAAAGCTCTCGCTGCGGGTGTAGAGGACGATCATGTGCTTGTTCTTGGAATCCGCCCGCTTGTTGATGTTAAAGCAAGTCTCCAGGTTCAGGACTTTTTTGGGCACCGGCGATTTGCAGCGGAATTTCTTCTCGTTCTCGTAATACTCCAGCCGAGCGGGACCGTGCTCCGAGGCCGCCCTGAGCACGAAGAAGCGCCGGTGCATTGATTTATGCTTGCGGAGGTAGCCGCTCTTCTGCACATCTTCGTAGCTCTGCGGCTCAGGCGTCTGGTTCTCCATGGCCGAGGCGGCGGTGCAAAATGTTCCTACCAGAGGGCGAAATCTCTTGATCTCAGGGGGGGAAACCGAAGTCCATGCGTCCTCCTCATCTGCCCGCTGCAGCTACATCCCCGCGCCCGCGTGCGCGCGACGGCTCAGGATGGGAGAGTCAGCCGGAGCGCGCGGTTTCGGGCTCCGGCATCCCTGACTGTGAATCCCAGCCGCTGCGGGAGGAGGATGCACAGCGTCCCCCGCCGCAGCCCAGCCCAGTCCCCGAGTCCCGAGTCCAACCGCGCCGCAGCTCAACGGCTCCCGGACGTCTCCTCCACCTGTCTGAGGATGCCCATCGCCCGTGCACAGCGTCCACCGTCACCGTGCCGGAGCGGAGGGGCCACTTCCACCGCAGACTTCAAAATAAAGCACGCGTCAAAGGAGGCTTTCAGAAGACAACCCCGTTTGAAAGCCTCTAATCCCTCAGCCGCGGCTGGTTCTCGCCAGGGGAGGAGCTACAGGGGTGGCCCACGCCAGTCTGTGCGTGCCACCTACTGAATCCTGGCCTCCCTGCACAACCTGCAAGTCCTTCTGAGGGTTCCCCATACATTCACAGAAGGAACTTCACCCCGAGAGTCTTCATTCAATCAACCTTCTGACCTTTTATGTCTTCCATCAGTCATATTTGTCTTTTCAAGTCCTCTGGACAAGAAACGAGAAAGCCTGACATTAAAAAATCTTGTATAAGTTTATCCATCTGTTGTAGAAAGAGTTGACCGTGTCCTCAACAAACACGTTTCCACAAAAGAAATGCATTAAAGAGACTGCCACCCCGATAAACTTAACAGATCACATCCCAACTACCCATTAAAAAAGACACAAACACATTCAGCTGTTTTTTGGGGAATCCAATTATTTGCAGCTATTGGTAGCTTTTGATTTCTTTTAAAAGGCACTTAAAAAATCCACCCATCCATCTTCTGTACCTGACCTGCTTTTGTTTGTTTGTTTGTTTTTTTAGTCAGACAGCTTTAAAAAAAACTAAGATTGGACATCATCCTGTTGAGAGCACGTCACATCAAACATGCCCAAACTGTCACTCTAGTCTAATGGAGCCCATAGGAAATGACCACAAAGATCATATCCATGCAGTTTTAGTTACATGTAGATTACTATCTCAAAGATAAAGTTAGAGGTGATAGGATGTCTTAAACATTTTTTCACACTGTACAATCAAAGTTGACTTAATTTAACTCTTATTTGACTTATCTATCTCATATAAATCAGAGACTCATGATGATCTGATTAAATAGCCCTATCAAACTCTAGATCAGAACAGCCTCGCATGTGTAAACATCACTAAGCAAAGCAACCATCAAACTAGAGGGACATTTATTCAAATCACCACTATTCAAAAGGAAACTGGTCCAAAGCAGCTCAGACACTTTCGGTGCTTTTGTGATGAAAAACCATCTGCAGGGTTTCCGGCTCCATCCTGCCTCTCTAGACATCGCTTGACTTCTTTGCAAGCCTGGCACCTCCATGCCGGTGTGTGAGTCCACGGCCAGGGGGCTTCGTGTTTGCTGAGGCGCGCCGGGGAACGCGGCGTTCAGCCGGGGAAGACGCTCAGGATCACGTGCATAACCGGACAGCTTAGGGTGTAAAAATCAGCGTTTTCACCCGCCGACTGTACAGATGCTGAAGGAGAGCAAAAGCAGATGATCTTGCAGAAGAGGTCTGGGCTCAAACTGTCCGCAGATATGGGCCTGATACGTTGGACCATGGAGTGAAATGCTATGCGATAACTAAGTGCACACACATTTTTCGAGACAAACACAAAAAAAAGAAAAACCCCAAACAAACTATGCTGCATTTGGCTCGTGATGACTAACAAAGATAATATTAGATTAGACAGAAAACTGTCATGTTGATGTTCTTGTTGCCAAATATTTTTTCTCTGAAAGTCAGTCATCTATAAATACACTATAGGCTACACTACAATCTCAGAAATATTAGATTAAATATACTTGACAGCAGACTCTATCCTGCCCTAAATTGATAACAGTCCCTTGTTGTTCAACAGTTTTAACTTCTGAGTGTAGATTAAGGAACAATAAGTAAAATATTCCTGATATCTCACAACACTGTAACAATTCAAGATTTAATGTCCCTTCTGATCATTGATGTTGTGATTCATGTCTTGAAAGAAAAGTAATTTACTGCCAGCCCCGCAGACAAATCTTCTCAGTCTTATTTAGATATTCAAAAACATTTGAGTTATTTCATCTTTTAGGATCATGGATTGTCCTGCATTGGTGAGGTGAGATTTTCAACTAAAATTGATTCCAAGTATTTTAATTAATAATAAAACAAAATAACCCCAGCTTATTTTTAGTTTCAGTTTAATGTAATGGCATTGTATCATTTATGGATCCAAAAGTTGTGAATAATAATCACTTATCAACAGGGTTAAAGGACAGTGATAAGACAGACAAGTAAACACAATCTTCACTAAAACCATTGTTTATTTATACAACACTGTAGAGATCACTGTAAAAGTCAATAATGCAACCCAGTCAGTTTAGCATAAGTCTACCTGTTTTGGCAACTTGATTGTAACCGAGGAAAAGTTAGGTCTTCTTGCCCTGTCAATAAAAACACCCATTTTAATATTGAAATTCCCATCCAAGAACGAAAGATGCCCATGGCTGCTGCCATGTTCACTTTAATTCTTAGCCATGGGTTTGATCATGTTTGAAAAGTCAGCACTGCTAAATACCTAACAGTGTGAAAGAATACACCACAAGCAACCAGATAATCAAGTACGAAGATGTGCAGCTCTCTTGCCTATACACAGATACTGGAACAAGTTGGTGTGAGCTAAAAGTGAGTGGCAGCAAGCCGCCAAGGAAAAAACAGTTTTCAGAGGGAAAACCCATCCTGACAACGGCTGCTTGTTATTGCTAATTGTATTGCTTATTGTAAGTGCTGCAACAGGCAACGAGCAAGCCAACAATGCAACTGTTTGCGTTACGACTGCACGCCAATTAAACCTCTGCGTTTTGTTGACACCTCCATTTTTGTCAAAGGTTTAAACGGAATCAAAACAGGGTAAACAAGCCAAAAAAAAAGTTCCCAACTGTGCGGGACACAGACTATGTACACATTTACAGTAATTACAGATCCTCAAGCCATAAAAGGGACTCATTGGACTTAAGCCCTGTGAAATTAGGAGGATCCCCTGCAAGTGGGCATGCAAGGTGAACGATAAATCTCAGAGGATCCTCAGATGCAGCTCTTTTTAGCCCCGAAGAGCCCAAACAGAATTAAATGGTTGGAAATCTCAGACATGGGCAGACGGTTCTCTCAAGATGGCGATACACATGAAAGGGCTCAATCTGCCAAAGCATGTCACTGGAGATCATTTCAGTCTGTTAAATCAGAGATTCTGTGTATCTGTGGTGAACAGACACACTGCAGTAAACAAGGACTAAGACCCTCTTAAACACAGCACATCCAGCCATGCATGTTTCTGTCAGTAATAGGCAGAAGCTGCTATAGGTGAAACCCATATAGAAATTGCGTTGTTCAGCGGCTGTTTGGATCTTGTTTGCATACATGTTTAAGAATTTGGTGGAAACCCTTAAAAGTCATTTTTAATAGTGACACATAAAAGCATACTTTCTGTCATTTTATGGCATCGTTAGTGAAAAAGAATAGGATATGATGAGTCTGTAAGCCAAGGAAAAATGTTTACGGCCGATTTGTCATTTTATATTAAAACAATTATGTCCATATCTTTTAGACGGTTTGAGCCAGTAGTCAAAAACAATTGAGCTTATTTCTAAATAATCAGACCATTGTGTCTCAAAAACACCTTTTTGATAATATAGCTTTATTCAATTTGTGTGAACACTTCTGGTGTAACAAAAACAGAATCAGAGCTATCCAGACCTATCCTGAATTCTAAGTCGAGACTGTTCTAACATCTACCAGTGAGCTTCATTTTCAATGAAAACGTTCATTCATGTAATAGATGTGTTGTTGGGATGCCTGTGACAAATCACCCCAATATCTCTACAACACTCAAAGTTCTTCACAAATACGTGCAGCACATTAGGCCCAGCAGAAGCACACAACACACAGGACACTGTGATAACTTCAGCAGACACATCCATCACAATCTCTTCCCGGTAAGAAATCTGTGTAGAGACAGCAAGTCTCAGACCTGTAATGCACCTCTGACAGGAAAATTATACTGTTTATCTGTATTCTGGTATAAAAACAACAGATGCGCAAACACAAAATATGTGGTCCTCTGCAGGTGGTCCATTTTTAGTATCTAGGGGTTTTATCGTGGCACTGCTGACATCAAACGCTAACACAGAATTTATGATTACCAAGAAAAGTCATTTCAAGTCCACATATGATCTCAACAAATCCAAAAACTGTGAATTCCCATTTCACAGGTTGTGGATTCCATATAGAGTTGATTGCAAATACCATAATCATTTTCTGATTCTTGGCCATTAGCAACGAACCACAGGCTAGTTCTGCTTCTTCTGTCTGTCCAGGAATTTTTGTCTTCTGGGCGGAGGGATTTCTTCCACATCGATGTTGTGACCTTTTCCACTGTGAGAAAACACAGGAAATTCATTGCTTTATGTTAGTTTAAAAACATTTCCTTTTGCTTAAGTAATATTAAAGTATCAGTGATAATACAAAATACTGTCTAATGTACTCTACTGTGTCTTGAACCACTAATAATGGTCTTGTGTATGATGTTGCCAAGAAAACATTACAGAAACAATAGCAAACATACAAATTAATTCTGCATTTGAAGTAAAAACAGAATTTGTAGAATTCTAACTAGCTTGAAACTCCATCATCACACAACATGGAACCTTTTGGACCACCTTTAGTAAGCAACATCAGTTTGCGTGTCATTATAATACAAACTAATATGTGCATTTGTACGGAATGTATTTTTTTTTTTTTTACCCTTGAAGGTCTGGAGGAACTGGCAGAGGCTTGTTGAAACCTTCCTTCCCCACCAACCAATATGTGGTCTCAATACCTTTACCCTAGAAAAGATAGTTGCATTTGTTTATGATACTGGGCTACAACATGCAATTGTCTGAGTACATCATGACATTGCTTTTTGTTTTTTGTGCCATTTACCTTTAACTCTGTCAGGCCTCTGACTTGAATCTTGTATCCCAGATTCAAGGTGTTCAGGATATCAACTGTGCTTTGGTTGACATGGATTCTGTAAGCTATAGAAAAACATAATATGCATTAAAGAAGCATCATTTTAATATTGAGATTTTCTCCTTGGATTTTCTGAGGGTTTCAAATGAGCGTGCTGCTTTTGATGCACCAAAGAAGTCAGGCTACCGTTTGGTTTTTAAACCACTTGGAGGCAGCAGGACTGCTCATTCTTGTCCGGCTCCCATAAGAAGACATGGATAGTTGTAATGTAATGCGTCAGCACTTGAATTTGCAGACTGACAAACTGAATTTTCAGACTAAATTAGTCTCAATTAGACTGAAATAGCATGCCTTACTTAATGATTTTAATATTCATTAAAATTTTGTCCTTTGAGAGGAGTTTCATTTCAGACACATGTAGAGTTTACTCTGTGGTTAATATTTGTGTTTATATTTCATTGTATAGCATGCGGAGGATTACTAAGACAAGCTTGGTAATTGAAGATATTTATTCTGAAACTTTAACTTGCCCTTTAATTCTGTTGATACTCTTAAAGGATTAGTGAGTACTGCTCTCTCAAAGCCCTGTTTAACCTTAAGGAGAGTACACTAAAACTGCAGAGCAAGCATCCTCCATTTTTTCACGATATTATGGCCACAGTGTATTATTGTGTTTTTCAATGACATATAAGACACTCACGCAACGACGTGGACTCCATTCGAGATGACGTGTTGACAGTGTCTCCAAACAGACAGTACCGAGGCATGGTCAGCCCAACTACTCCTGCTACGACTGGGCCTGCGATCATACAGGTTACAGAAGCTTTAAACTTCGTATGAAACAGCTATAATGTACCATTTTGTGAGCAATTTGGACATGGTAAGATGTTTGTCTTTAAATGGTTTTCTAATTTCCGTGTGGACAAATATTCTCCGGGTAATTAGTTCCATGCATGTAATAATACCAAAGCATCAAAGAGGTGCACCACCACCTCTGAGTGCATTAAGAAATTTATTGGATAGAGTCAGAAATCCAAAGTGTGCAGTGTGCTAATTGGATAAAAGCACTCTAAGTGGATAGTGTTTCAATGTTCCAGGAATACGTTTCAGACAAGGATAAAGGAGATAAAAATAACTCCTTGACTTAGCAGCTTGTTCAGTTGTACTCTTGAGAAACATTCGAGCTTATATTAATTCAGAAATTGAGTTAGTGTTTTTTCACCCCAGGTTGCATTAAATCATTGCAATACCTGATACTCAGATGACTTAATTACAGCAAAGAATTGTCCAGATTCAAATTCAGGATGCTCTATCGTGATTATGGGGATTTGACCTGTTGCAGAAAGGACGGTCGAATTACTCACCGGAGTGCAGACCAATGCGGATCCTGATTTTCAGGTCAGGCATGTGTCTCGTTCGGAAGGTCCCGATGCACTGGAGAATGTCAAGGGACATGTTGGCCATTTCAGCTGCATGACGATTGCCATTCCTGGAGGGAACTCCTGAAGCTACCATGTAGGCATCTCCAATAGTTTCTACCTAAATAACATTAAAAGGACAGTTAAGCAAACGCACTGTATAAAAAAGTATACATTTTCTCTCAATGTTTCAGTATGCTTTACATGTTAAAAGTGCAGCAAATAAAGTGGACTACTACAGGAAGTGAATGCAGGCATGTGATACTGCAAGTGTCTGTCATGTTATTTGAGTTTCTAAAACATTGGGTGATGAAAATCTTGTAAAAAAGAACAACTTAAGGCCTGTAAAGTATTTTGTAACTATAGACTTTCAAATTCAAATCTCCCAATGCTCACCTTATAAACATCATGCAGAGGAATGATTGCATCAAATAGTGAGTAGAGATCGTTGAGTAAGTCAACCACCTCTATGGGCTCGCTCAGAGCTGAGATAGTTGTGAAACCAACTATGTCACTGAAGTAAAGCGTGACCTCACTGAAATGCTCTGGCTTGACAGGTTTTCCCATCTTCAAGTTTTGGGCCACAGACCTAAAGGAAAAATATGATGAAACAGAAACAGCCTTCGTTCAAACATAATAAATGCAACAAGGTCAAGACACACAGCTGAAATATTCAAAAGCAGTATTTGTGTTGATAACAATTATTTAGGATTTACTCCGCAGAAAATATTATTGAAAACATTTTTTAGCAAATTGGAAAACTTGTATCTCTATAACTGAAACTGTGTGGGTTTGGTGTATATGCTGAGTGGAATTGAGGTGGAAAATCAAGAATTGGCCAATCAAAGTGGCAGACTGATTACATGCGATATCCTGATTGTCACTATTCATCCAGACATCAAGCCCACCCACTGTCCAGTTGTAACATCCCCGTGAACCCTGCTTAACAGTACAAATAAAGCTTTTTCTATGTTTCAGACATGTGACATGAAATTTCTACAGTCACATTGCCGTGTGTATTCTAATTCTGTATGATCTGACTAAACCAAGTATTATGACATAAAGAGTACACCGCATGGCATTTTGGCCAGAGGACAAAGAATCTTCTTAATGATATATATGGAAAGGTGGATTTCTCATTATTACTTAAACAGCATGTAATAAAAGTTAATAGAGGGTTGGTTATAAAGCTGTTACAAATATTGGATACTTCTGTACATTGTTAAGACCTTAAACATAGATAGCCTTATCACTCATTCCTTAAATAATGTAAACCAGTCTGAGACACTGAGATAATTTAACATGAAAGTCACTGTTTGACATTCTCACATTTTTTATTAATCTTTTTTTTTTTTATAGTGTATGAAAAATCCTAAAATGCTTGGTCGTTTACAAAGGATTTAAATGTCAGTGTTTGCTATGGGCAGTTTTAATTGTCTGATTATATCAAGTTCAGTGGGTCAACTTCTTTGGAGACGCTGAAAAAGAGCTACAAATATGATTTCATGCCAAAGAGCAAGAGACAAAAGAAAGGATATAAATGAGGGAGCACACTGCGACAAGTCAAATTTGAGTTCTGATTCTGGAACATATTCAACATCAGCCTGTCCAAAAAGCCTGGAAATCATACTATAAAAGATCATGTTATCCTTTCAGAAAAAAAACAAGCATCCACTCTAAATCAGGCAGCAGTAGATACTAATCTTTTGACTTAACCTCACTCAGACCCCCCCCCCCCCAAGTTGAACCATGCGATGTTTATCACAAAGGTTACTGGACTCTTACTTGGGTAACATCTGAGACAGAAGCTGGTCTGTCTTCTGTCTCTCTACTTCCAGCTCTTCTGTCCTCTCTCTGATCAGATCCTCAAGGTTGGACGAGTACTGTTCCAACATCCGCAGCATAGAGTCGATAATGTTGGTCTTTTTGCCCTTTGTGATTCCCTTGAACTATCACAAAAAAGGAACGCTATCAGAATTTTCCATACTGCCACAGACCTGTGAACAGCTGTTGTTTTTTTACCTGTTTGAATATTTCCTCAAATGTTGGCCTCTTGTCAGGATCCTCACTCCAGCACTGCTTCATTAACTGTATTACATCCAACGGGGCCTCTTCCACCGATACAATAGGCCGGCACAATGGAGGGGGCTCTTTGACTTTACTGATAATTTCTGTTAAAGCACACACATGAAAAATGCTTGGCCCACACAGAGTACCAGAAATTGCCATAAGGTTACCTGTTTGTTGCCACTCACCTTTAGGAGGCATGTCCAGCATGCAAAATGGTGCACAGCGGGAAATGATCTCTTGGGTGATAATGGAGAAGCTGTAGACATCCCCAGCAAAAGAACCCTTCTTTCTCTGGCTTTGATTTCGAAGAAGCTCGGGAGCCAACCACAGAAGGTCTAGTCATCATTGAACAACCGGTAAGAAACAATCAGATACGCAAGCGCAAACTCAGAAAATGATAATTTCTCAGCCATGCTCTTACCCTCTGGTTTTTCGTCCTCTATTTCAATGTTCTGCGCGGTCAATATTTCATTGAACCCGTAATCTGTCACCTTCAGCACGAAGCGCCCGTCTACCACACAGTTACGTGATTTGAGTCGTCCATGAATGATGTCACGGTGGTGTAAGTACTTAATTCCCTGGCGATGGAAAAGGTGTAACTGATGAAGATATATGATTGGCTGCGAAATAATGCATTAGTAAATGTATTTATGTCTTACTCTGATCAAATCCATTAGCAAGGAAGATTTGAACATCCAGTCGAGACGGACTTCTTCATTGGCGAGCAAATCCTCCAAGCTGCCCCTGGTGCAGTGCTCCGTCACAATGCCAAAGATCCCAGAGTCAAAAAACAGTCCCAGGAACAGATTCAGGTTCTCATGCCTCATTTCTCTCAGCTGAAAGGACAGTGGAAACACCAAAGCCGTTTTAATAAAATCACTGTTCTTGGTACATTTCTGTGACCATCTGCAGCCTTTATTTGGTCTCTGAGTGCAGAGCAGAGTCAGCTTTGCCTGTGACCTGGACGTGGCACGTCCTTTTAATTTCCATACATCACTCATTCACCTTAACAAAGACCATCTCAGTGTTGCTGTTGACAGTTGACACCGTCCCACTGGGACATTTCTTCAACCAAACCCAGTCTCCCTGGTGGGTAAACAAAACAATGTAGTCTATGAAACCATCCAGGTGGCATGAGCTCCAAACAGGAAAATACGGTTTATAATGGGAATGCTGTATGATATCGTCTCACCTCAAACACAGCAACATTTGAGCTGTCTGGTGTGGAGGCTAGGTAGCTGCGACAGGACAGCGAGTGTTGAGGCGTCTTCACATCCACCTGGCTTTTCACAATGCTGTCATCATTCAGCTTCTGCTCACACACGGTGAACAGAGGACGTGTCATTTTAGAGCATATGATGAGCATAAGGAAGCAGCTAGCACTACGTCATCACAGAACTGACCCGTTTGCTGACTTGAGTATTGATAAAGATCAGATCATCAAGGGTAAGGATCACTTTGGATGATCCACTATTTCCACTGGCACCAAAGCTGAACCCAACCCTGCCATCTTTCCTGAGCAGACAAATGATCAGATGAAATCAGGATGAGTTCGACTTTGATTCTGTAGGAGTAGGATATGACTGAATCATTTCAAAACTTAAAACGTACTTGTAATGAATGAACAACACTGCTCCGCACAGCGCCAGTGCCACAACCAGCAGGAAAATAAAGAAAAGAGTAGCAGAATCCATGCCTTTGAAAAAGAGCAGAAGGACAGTTGGAACTTATTGTTTGGACTTTCCGATAGCCACCATACCAGCATAAATGTGTCAACACTTTAAGCATACTCACCTCCAGAACAGGCAAAGTATGAACTAAACCAGCAAGTTGAGTCTGAATATGGAGTGCTGCCTGCAAAATGGATTGAACGGCTGAGATATTTCAGGCCCCCAGTGGTCCCGTCTGTGTGAGAGGCATGAAGAAAATGTGTCGAGTAGAGAGAGTTGCCAACGCCGCTGTAGTCCAGGACCACGTAACTGGCTTGCATTCCTTCACCGTTCCTTCCCGCCTGTAATTGCTGGTTGAATCCTTCAAATTTAAAGTCACCCTCACTGTCAGCGAGTATCTGGCCAGTTACCCATTGGCCTGCACTGGTGCGGGTCTGCTCAGCAGCCATAGCTATGTAGTACATCATGTTGTAAATGGTGCCAAAGAATGGAGAAACCTAAAAGGAGCCAAAGTAATGCAACAAATCAGGTTAATGTTCCAATGTTTTCCACCCTCTCTGTAAGCTTGATCATTTTATCATGTTTTTACAATCACAATAGTCTCTGAAGACTTTAACCTGCTCTGGTGGAGTGCTGCTACGTATTTCATAGCTGTTCTGAGCTTCTCTGAAGGCCTCATAGAAATTGCGCTCTCCAGACTCCATGGTGATTGTGAGAACCCCGTCATATGCTTTTCGGAGCTTGGTGTCATTGCCCAGCATATAGTAGAATGCATCTTTGTAGGGTAGTGAGTACAACAGGGTATCATAGGGAATGAAGACATATCCACGATCTATCATACGCATGGCTAAGGCTGTCGTCAGGAGCTGGTACTGGGCTTGGCCACCAATCAGGACAGAAGGCATGCACATGATGATAACTGAAGAAAGAAAATCCAATAAATACCAACACGTTCACGTGATTTGCATTTAATGAAACACTCTTGTGTTCTGTACAGGTGAAACTCACCTCTGACCCGATCTGCTTCCTTCACTTTAGTCAGTGCTCTGCGAGGCCCATCCTTGTCTGTCTCCATTGTGACCACAGGATTTACAGGCAGACCAAGATCCCTCAACGAAGAGGCCAATTCTTTCCCTGTGCCTTCCCACAGGTCAGTTTCCTCGGAAATTATAGATACATGGGCCCACCGAAAGTACCGCAACACAGTGAAAAGCACATGGGAGGACAGCGGTAGTGGCCTCAGGAAAGTAGGATACATGACACTTGGTCTGATAATTGGATTGAGGCAACCCCAGGAAAGAATCCCAATATCCCACTCTTTTGTGTACAAAGCAGCTGAGGAGCAGTAAGATGGGTTGGCTGGGCCCAAGAAAGCAGCACCATAACCATCCAAATCAGCAAAGCGAGCAAGGGCACGTGTTGACTTGCAGTCCTCATTGATGAGCGTGTAGTCATACCAGTAGCCTTTATTCAAGGAGGGGTCCTTGTTTATACGACTGGTGGCGAGGCGCGCTGCCAAGTCAGGGAGGGCCTTTGCATACAAGATGTCACAAGTCCAGGGTCCTACCAGAGCCACCTTGAAGGTAGTTGCCCAGGCTTCGCAAGGGAAAAAGGATATGATGAGGAGGAACTGAAGAAACCAGTTCCCCCTTCTTCTTCTGGTGTGCTGCACCGGGGATGATGGCAACTGTGGTTTTGATGACAGTAATCGTGATGACAATGGTGATGAGGCTCTTAATAACTGACTGCATCCATCAAAACTGTTATAAACCCCTGTCCATAAATGTCTTTTTCTCTTTACTTTCACGGAGTGGTCCCGCCATCGTGGGTGGAAGGCGAGGTTGCGCAGACAATGATTGTCTCTGTGATCTGTCATGTTCTCACGCAGATGTTCTGATGCCTCAAACACAGAAGGTGAATTGAGAGTTGGTGATGCAAAGTGTAAACGTGTCCCTATTCGTGGGAATGCCTTCCTTGGCCCCCCAACAGGCGTTTAGTCCAAAGGTGGACAGGTTGAATCAAGACCCCAAGCCATCACTGCCTCCAGGGGAAAAAAAGAAAAACAGAAAGAGTTAGAAAACCAGTAACATTTGATTAGTTATGTGATACAGTTCAAAACTCCTACAATCTTCATGATACAGCTGTGATGCTCAACCTGAATTCACATTCTTCTGAGCTGCTAATGCCAACACATGACATGCTGAATCTTGTCAGAATTAATTTGACCTCATCACTGAGGACACTGTTCTCATAATGTTCTTTGAAGAGTAATGTTATGTGTCTAACCAGTTGATAAGCTCTGTCTCAACATGGAGCTTAAATCAAATGCCAGGTAACCAAAAGCTAAATCTGGCTCCTGGCCTTCATTCCTTTATCTGGATTCTCCACTTCCATATGATGTCAAATCTCTTAAGAGCTTCCCTGTCATCCATCTCTGGGGGATTCCACCTCTTCGACACTAGTCCAGTCACCTTCGCTGCACTGAACTTAACTTAACTTTAAGCTTCCAAGAATAACTCAAGATTAAAGGTATCTTTGACCCTTTTTTTCCCCCTTGCAAAATGTATTGTGACACTGGTCTTTATTTGTGGTGACATTTTTAACCCTGTTGATCCATAGTTTTAGCATCAATTCTGAGATTTTATGTTAAAACTATGGATCAACCGAAGAGAAAGAATACAGAGATTTGTCTCATTAACTACCAGCTATCTTTATCTTATATCTTTTAGAAAAGTTAAGATATTAGTTCTGGATGTCTGGAAATACATGTTTTATAAAGGCTCTTCCAAACACAAGCCTACTAATTTGTATTCACAGCTGGAGTAAAAATTAATTCGATATAAAGTACACCAAATTTTAAATCTAAGACTTCTCAGATAGATACAACTCAAACATAATTCAGAAGGATTTTTTGCAAATGAATCATTTTCCATTATTCTGTTTTTTGAGGAGCTGTACAGGATATAAGTTAGATATCAAGTATCAAGTTTACTTCAAATGAGAGCTTAAAAACAGGAAGATAGAACAATTTCTTTATTTTAATGGTGGCATTGAACATTAACTGACAAGCACACAGAATTGACTAATACTGACACTGGCTAATCAGTAGCTAAATTAAGACCTTGGACGTACTGGGCCCATTACAGCAGAGCCACTGAAAAATAGCTTATAGATTATATGATTAAACTCCCAAACCCTCCTTTACTGTCAATTATAAATCAGTTATTACAGAACCTATAAGAAATTGATCACTTTTACTCTATTCTGTGTAACCTTTACATGTTGAACAAGAACATTTTTGTTGTCACAGGAAGGAAATAAGCATATCTATCAAAATCACTTTTACATTACCATTCAGAAACCAAGTAGTATGTGTAATATTGCCACTAATAAGACACGGTTCTTACCTGGAGCAGATTTTCTACACAGGAGCCATGTCAAGGTTGGCGTCAGTCATTGAATAGCACCATTTAGATTCCAAGTGGATTAAGAGTTCTGAAGAACACAGCAGGAGCACTTATTTCTAGACTTTCATTGTGGAAAAATAGAATCATGATCCAAATCTTACGGAAGGATGACAGAAAAAAATAATGAGATGATCAAATGCAATCAAATTATGTCCTCTTCTCTTCGAGTTTCCAAAAGATAATACACAAAATGAATTATCTCGATATTCCTCTGAATTAGTCTTGTGTTTACCGTCCTGGTTTGAAACCCATCCCAAACTAAGGGGGTGAGAAAAGGTACAACTCTGGTCCACAGTTTGGACTAGTAAAAATAGATTTGAAGAGCACTAGGGAGAGAGCTAATCAGTAAAGCAAAGGAAAGAGTTGAAACTACTGATGAGCTTTGACTTCTCAACCTTCTTTAGCCTCTTATCCATTCTTGCGTGGGGTTGGAGGTGTGTGTGTGTGTGCTGTAGGGGAGGGCGGAGAAAGAAGAAGGCAAAAGAAGAAGCACACTTACTCTGCATCAGGCTGACGTACTGTATGTGCCGATATAGCCCAGCTATACGATTACATGTAGACAGAACTTTGAGAATCCTCAGCACAGATTGAGTGTTAAATAATGATCTTAAAAGTTGATACAGCTTATAAATATTTATGATCTATTTCCCACCTGTTTTCATATAGAGGACACGTGTCAGAACTGGAAAATAAAGTGAGTCCTTGCGACCACGTCCTCTTCCATTGGCATAACATGAACTAGAAGTGACACGCTCCTGGATCTCTTGTTGTTTCTTACACCACCCCTTTGTGGAAGTCATCTTTAGCTTTAATTAGCCAAAGTGGCAAACAAAAAATACAAACAAAAGCTTCCCATATGCAAGAGCAACTTGGTCTTACACTGAATACACATCCATGCAGGATGGAAAACATTTTTTAACTGGCACACACATTATGCAGTGACATTATGAGACCCCGTGCTCCTGCAAATTCTAGAGAAGGTAAGGAGTTCAGCGTTGTCATGGCAATACTCACATATATGAGTGCATGCATGCATGCAAAACATGTGTGAACATAGCTACTGTGTGAGAATCCTAATAAGGACAGAAAAGCTATCTCAGCTGGATGTTGCATGTTGCAAGGTACTGAAATCCCCATTAGATGCTGTAACCATAATCTAAGCCTGTGAAAAAACAGTGAAACTCCCCATTTTGACAATATTATTTGAAATGAAGAGGTTTTCTAGCACCTATCAACACAGTTCGCTTTTGTGAGTATACAGTTTGACTCTTTTTTCCCTGTATTACACATTTATAGGTGACTTGTTGAAGTAATCAGATTAGTCAGGTGAGGCCTTGCTAAACTTATCTCCTACACGCAAGCCTCTTAGTGAAATGGTGGACAGCGCTGACAGAGATCACAAGGTCAAAGGCACAACTTGGCCCCTTTGCAAAGGCACACAATACTGCAAGCACCTGCAATTTGTTCCATGCTCGATTAGCAGACGGTATGTTAATGAAAGTCACATAATTGACGCTGGAAATGTAAGGCTCACGTCTCGCTCTTATTTGCTTGCTTTTTGTCAAACTTGATTAATCATTCAATGAGGAGGACTGTTGCATAACCACTTGAAAAACGTCAGACATTTGCATCCTCAAAGACCTAAATGAATTAATCAGGTGAATCAACTAGGAAGCTTTCTGTATGACATCACTAACTCTTTCCATGATGGCCAGATCAATCTTGTGTAGAAAAGCTGGGAATCTTCTCTGAAAGGTATTTGAGACTTTAATCTCTGTACTTTACTACTGTAATGTAGTGTAGTGTAATGGTTAATCTCTTACGATGTAACGGCAGACCTTCTGTCATTGTCTGCAAACATCGGTGCAATAGGGCTCTCAGTGCACGCTTCCATCGCAGAGGATTCCCAGGAGGATCACATCTATGCATGCAACACATGGTTAGGGCCCCGGCTTTCTGTAAAACGCTTGTCAAAAGTATCAAATTTGAAAAGAAATTGATACAACTGCATTTCAGAAGAACAAGAAATGTTATCGCTCTTGGTAGATCTTTTTATCAATACATCTTCATATATATTTGAGGGAGGTTTTCAGCTTATCCAGAGCCTGCTTGGCCATATATGCCTTTATTGTAATATTATTTTACCCAGTTGTGATTATAGGTGACATATTTGGACTACAAGTGCCAACCACACAGGGTTATTGATTTCAACAAGGAAATTACATTTGGATTTGTCAGATGAAAGTATCAATCGATGCTTAACCTCTACTAGATCAGCTTTTTTCCTTTTTCCAACAAATCAGTGAATGATCTTTTCTTTTGGGACATGTTTTTCTCCAAAAAGTCTAATATTCAGCACCATTGTGATATTATAAATTTATGTATACTGTATTTATTTGTATAGTTTAATGTCCTCTATTTAGTGTGAGCTTTGCATTGATCAAATGTGTGTCTGTGTGGTGACTATAGTTAAAAAAAAATGTCTGTTTGATTGTCATGAATTATACTATATTCTAATCTGATTCATTTAGAGTAATGTCACATTATCAACACATTCTACAGTATCACACAAGTCATTTTAAGGGCACCACAGAGACCTCTTGTGGCTGCGAACACCGCCTACAGTGAACCATTATTCAGAGTATTCCGACTGCCAGGCAATGAAATAAATATATGGAACTGCTTGAAAACATTGTTCATACTAAAAGATAAGAGTGGATTTGCACATTCTCCCTCTGAAGTATAATAAACCGTTAAAAAGCTTAGAGTGCAAAGGAACAAACCAGAGTAACCAGAAGTCTTATGTCATCCAAATGTAGCATGAACTCCTCTAAACTCCTGGGCATTTCAGATGAATCATTGCACAGAAGAAGCAGTCATTGTGTCAATACTAAATACATTTTGAAGGTATTTTTGTAAGTAATGGACATTGTGCTCTCGATAAAAAATGAAAAGACCCATTTCTCCAGTGATAAGTATCAGACAACAGGTTGTTCTTTGAAGGAGTTCAGAATGCCAGAGGGAGGCATGATTAATCAATTCTGCCATTTCTAAACAGTAATAATACAATTGGCACAATAGTCCCATGACTTTATAAGTAGCTACCAACATTTGATACCAACTATAAGAAAAAAGTATGTTGTTTGACAAATTATTAAGTCATTACATTTTGAGTAGAATCAGATGACTTCTGAAGGCGTTCGGAAGATGTCTTCAAGTTAGACAGTAGAGGCATGGAGATGGATGCGTCATTATCATTAAAATGAGAATATATTTGTTTTTTAAATGTCCCTTTAGTGAATCTTTTACATGCTGTAACATTTTCAGATTTTTTAATTAAAGTATTGGACATCTTTGTTACCTGTTTAAATCAAATCTTGTATGGTGGGGTTTCATTGTTGGAATTTTTGTCAACATACTGAATGGAATATGTCAGCAAAACCATTCAGATCATGTGTGTTGCTTTTGTGCATATTTATAGTTTTCCATCAGGGGTTGGACTAATTTTGTTTTTTAGGGCACCCCTAATGAGGTCCCCATAAATGTCGATGACATATCGGTCGATGATAAGCAGCTTCCTTCGAATGACTTGGGTCACGGGACTGCTCATGTACGTAGGCCTCTGGCAGAGTATCACAAACGTTATCACTTGGGCTTTAAACCAAGAGCCTTATCAACCTATCAATGTACAGACGTTGATTCCTCATGAAAGTGTAGGACTGTTTCTGCTGGCACCGAAAACTGACAGATTGTATCCGCAGCAGACTTATCAACAGCCAGAAATACTGTGTCACATCCACGTCCATTTTCAAGTTCCTATCGCCGTATGATAAATCATCCTTATGTTTAAAGCCTTTGTGATTAGAGGCGAGCGATCCGTGGGCAATAAACATACTATAGTTCAGTGAATGTGTGGTTTTAGCCAAACGCCAACAATGAGTTAAAGGTGCATTATATTTATTCGAACCATCACGTTACTCATCTGAGAAAGTGCTTCTCCTGCCGCTGCAGGATGCTTTAACCCTAACACTCTGCTCCACATAGCTCACTATATCAGTAACAAAAAGACACACTTCCCAAGAAGGTATTCAAAGTGGTGTTTACTGTTTGCAAATCTCACTCCCATGATATCATCACTCAGCAGGGGGTGGGGCAGAGAGGGGCGGAGCGCACACACAAAAAGGTTTCATGTCATCCTCTATAAAATTAGGATCTACCACCTCCTGAGCATTTATGTATTTTACTATCAGGAAATCCTTCCCAGAAACTCTGCTGCTGCAACATGTCAGTCATAGAGCTGCTGGCCCTCTTTGGGGGAGTCACATTAGCTTTTTACCTGCTCAAACTCACCTGGAGATGTTGGTGTGGACTCAGAGAATATGTCTTGTCTGAGTTTTGGTGTGTGGATTTAAGGACATTTGGACAATGGGCAGGTAAAACTCAATTAAACGCACTGTGCTGTCTTATAGTCTACATTTAAAAACTAAAAACACATTGAAAAAAATAATTGGGGAGAAATGTAGAGTTTACGGGTGTTGAACACACTGGTAGCTGTTATTTGTACGTGTTCATTTTTTACCAAAACTGGTGGGACTTTAAACTTACTGCAGGTCAACAATGTAAGTTTGTAATGGAAATTGTGGTTGCTCTGGATAGCTCTAAAGATGCTACAGTCTAAGTTGTTTTTGAAAACAACTTAGACTGAACTCACCTACTGAACTCACTACTGAACTCACAAGTCAATGAAGGCATGACAAGTTGTTTACATTCCTACTTGATGGGGCATTTCCTTGTAATTGTTTCTGAACAGCACAGTGCACTTTTACTTCTCTGTAGCCATCTAAATTTTGGCCATTTATGCTGCACTAGATGTGGCATTTGACCTCAATTCTGGTAATCTGTTAACATATGTAATTGGGTGTTACAAACAATAACGCAGTCTGAAATGAAGAATTCCACAATGTTCCATCAAATTCCATAAACTGAACACTGAGTAAAATTCCTCAAATATGCTCTTAGTTATGGAAAAAATGCTTTCAACCATTCATTTTAGTTTTCTTGATCAATTTCTTAAGTGTTTTACTCAATTGTAAATTGATCTACTTTTTCTTTGTGCAGTTGTTACCGGCGCTACATCTGGCATTGGTAAGGCTTATGCAAATGAGGTGAGTCAATTTGTCTCTTAAGAAATTTGCAAATTCACAGTACAGATCACTGAGTAAGCCGGACGCTCAGCGCACCATAACCTGTCTGTCCGCATGTCTTCTTTAGCTTGCACAAAGAGGTCTGGATGTAGTTTTGATAGGCAGATCTGATTATAAACTCCGAATGGTTGCCAAAGAGATTGGTGAGTCTAATCCGAATTAATCTTGTGTCCTCCGATTTCTTTCCTTGTTCCAATAAACACACCAAATTTACCTTGTGTGCGACTGCGTTTTCTGAATTTTTTAGAGAGTAAATCTGGACAAAAGACTCGCACCATCCAGGTGGACTTTACACATGGCTGCAGCATCTACCCTGCTATAGCCGAGGAACTTCAAGGCCTGGAGATAGGAATTCTGGGTAAAGGAGGAAAAGCACATTTGCAAGTATTTCTTTTACAAATATATGTACGAAACTCTTGATGATACTGAGGCACTCCAACTATAAAAAGGATAAAGGTGGACCCCGCTGTGTGGGCTGGTGATTACAATTTTTTAAAGTGTAGATACAGATACTCACTATGTTAACCCCATGTTGCCAACCACGATCAAATAGCTTTGGTGAGTACTCCTGGACTGTGTGATCAAGGCAAAAATAAATGAGAAACAAAGGCCTCAAAGGTCTAATTGCTGATATCGTCTTTGTCCTATTGTGTTCATGATTAGCTTATAACAACCGTTTTGATGGGGAAAATGGGGGGAAATTGCAGGTCATATAAAGTATTTATAGTTTTAAATTTAAATTTTAGTATTTGCCTTTTGAAGCCCGCAAAGTTTTTATTTTCAGTGCATGTTAGAATAGCATCATTCTAATCAAGGTCTTCTAATCAAAATACAAATATAGGAACTGATAAATTTAGTTAGGGTATTGAAAAGCAGAAAGTTTATTCTTGATGTCAGTTTAATGGAGTAGAAGATTGTCTTAATGAGAGTTGTTGTTTGTGTCTTTGTAAACTTTGCAGTTAACAATGTGGGGATGACCTGTAATGATCATTTTGCTTATTTTCTGGAAATCCCAGATTCTGAACCGGTAAGCTCCTTTTTTCTTACATACTTTTTTTTTAAAGAACAATAGACTGGAACATCTATTCATGCAGAGTCAGGCGTTGAAGCGATCCCGTTTTTAAACTCTGTGTTCCTTCTAAACAGACAATCACTCATATGGTCAACTGTAACGTGCTGTCTGTTCCTCAGGTGAGAGATCTCTGTCAGTATATCATGTCTTCTATCTTATCTCCACTCACCAGTAAGGACCACTGTGTGTTCAGATTTCTAACCATGATGATTTTGTGCTGATTTAACTCAGATGACCAGACTGGTTCTTCCAGGCATGCTTGAAAGGTACTCATGCATAAATAGTCTGTTAGCAGTGTTTAAAAAGAATGATATGAATGAATGCTTTCTTTTTCTTTTGTCTCCTCTGCAGAGGGACAGGACTGATCATCAATGTCTCATCTGAGATGGGTGTCCGTCCACAGCCTTTGTTGGCCCTGTATTCGGCCACCAAGGTAGTTCCTCTTCAGGGAGGGCTGAATGATTTTGCTCTTGATTTTTTTGTAACTGATTTGCTTATTGTTTTTTTTTGTTGAAGGCTTTTGTGTCATACTTCTCCCAGTGCCTGCATGCTGAGTACAAGTCAAAGGGAATTACTGTTCAGGTAAACGAGGACCTATAATTACCTAACTTGTCAGAGCAAGAACTTTTGTTGAGCCAAGAGTTCATTTGAATAAAGAGAAATTCCCTGCAAAAACGATCGTAAACATTTCTATTTTGTTAAAAAAAATTCTTGGTCCCACCAATCAGCGGTCACATATGGGCCTCTCTAGAATAAAACACTTAATAATTTCAAGAAATGATACCAGCAAAATAGAAAAACTCGATGCAAGAGTTCACATTTATTCATGAGCCGCATTTTGATCAGTTTGAACAAATTTGCAGCCTTTGTATTTTTATTGAAGCATCATCTGCAGAGGTTTCACCTCTTAAAGCGGACCTCTCTTTTTCCTCAGTGTGTGGCCCCCCTCATGGTGTCCACCAACATGACCAGCAACGTGAGAGTCAACTGTTTGGTGAAGAGTGCTTCAGGGTTTGTCCGAGAGGCTATGAACACCGTGGGCCACACCAGCTACACCAGTGGCTGTTTGTCCCACTCCCTGCAGGTCAGAGCAACAACAAACTGTGATCTATTTCAACTTTTTGTGTTCCAAGTGTATGGCGCAGACCCTGAACCATTCCCTTTTCCCTGACTCCTTACAGAGCGTGGCTTTCGCATTGTTCTTACCGGACTGGCTGCGAACATCGACATTCCTCATCAGAAAAATGCGAAATCTTTCAAATGCAAGACAATATGAAAGGAGAGTACAAAATGGAAAGTGGATGATCAGCGCAAAGGAGGAGTAGTGACTTTCCTTGAAAGAGGACAGCAGAATGTGAACCCTGCAACAGAGTTTTTTGTACTACACTGTATTATCACAGTATCCAACAATGTGTTAAAACTATTGTCTTTATTTATTTTCAGTTCATTTCTCATGTAAAATCATGTGTGGTAGCTCCAACTATGAGCAGAAGGCTAGTTTTCATCTGGTGTGCATCCATAAGTACCAACTGACAAAACTGTATTCATAATTTTTGTTGCAGTCCTAAATGCTTTGTGAATCAGTGTGGCAGTTGCAAAGAAAAGAGACACAATAAATGTGTTGACCAGTATATTTAATGTTCTCAGCTGGATTAATGTACATCGACATCGAGCAGGAATCCTTTAAAGCTTTCTCCTTGTGCAGTTGAGCTGGGTCTGATGCGTTTCAGGAACAACAGACAAAGCACGAAAAGTGCAAGAACATTTTCCTTCAGTAACGTGTAGAAAGGGGCATCTTTCTTTGGTTAGGTGGCTCCTGTCTCAGACTGGATTATGCAGCACCAGCTTTACCCGCTCTGGTGCACTTTTACAGTGTCTTCTGAAACACGAAACGCCAACGCGTTAGTTCAAACCAACACAAAACAACAGCATCACACTCTGCTAGGCATTCTGAGGTCAAATGTGCAAACTAGTTCCCCTTTTTAAAAAAAAAAAAAAACACAAAAAGAAAAATGACAACTGGTAAGTGCACAAAGAAAACAAGAACAAAAGCTCTTTCGGTCCCTCGCTTCAGCCGAATGGAAATGTGAAACGGAACAAGCATGCAGTGATAAACAGAAAGGACTTAAAAGGAGCAGTTCATTTTGAGCAGTGGTTCAAGTCTTTCTTCAGGTCGTTGCTGAAAATTTATATACAAATGTTCATACTGAGTGTCCCTGAAAATTAGTGTTGCTCAAAAATGAACTCTCTTCTCTTTTCTGAAGTCCTTTGACTATTTTCATTTTCTGCATATGCAATTCTATGAAGGTTTTTCAAAAGAAGGGGTTTCATTGCAATTACCATCATTTCTTTGTTTTAATCCAAATTCTTCTTCAAGTATATAAAAATAGGAACGTTTCCTATTTGAAGGCAGAAACTTCAATTGGCACGAGACCGAGGATCTTTTTCTATAGAAAGATATTAACTGCAGGAGGTGAAAGCGCTGGATTCTGTACAGTGGCATTTACTTATGAATGCGCGTGCTCAGAGTTCAGTGTATGTGACTGGGGTGACGCCGTGGATCAAGAGTGTTGGCCCTAGGCCGTTGGTCACCGTCTCCAGCTGAGCGAGGTACTGCTGGTACAGGCTGTGGCGGGGAGGGGGCCGCGGCAAATACAGGAAGCGAACGGCGGCCTGTGAGCTGTGCAGCGCCAACATGCCGTTCACCGCGGACAGGTAGTCCTCCGACAGGGCCGGCAGGGGCTCGGCGCTGCGCTGCCCCTCTGGCAGAGGGTGGTGCTGCTCCACGGAGTCCCACGGCACGATCTTGATGGACGCCCTGATCCGCAGCTTCCTCAGCAGCTCGCGGAACGTCTCCTCGTTCACCACCCAGCCCTGGTCGCGGGACCCGCCCTGCACGTTCAGGAAGATCCGCATTCGTGCGTTGCGCCATTTGTTGGACATGTTCAGCACGCAGGCCATCTGCAGCAGGAAGAGGCTGCACACGTCCTGGTAGTCGTGGCTGCCCGGCTGCAGCAGGTTGAGGGGCCACACGTCTATAGTCCGCTCGGATCCGTCCACTTTGCTGTCTTTGCCTTCTCCCTGTAGCTGGAAGAAGTATCGGCCGAGGCACACGTTTTTACCCATTTTCATGGCATCAGAAATGATGCCGACGTATTCCTCTGGGGACAGCCATCGTGGGCTCTCAACATGCCGAACAGGGGGGAAATGGGCCTGTAATGAAGGCAGGTCAATCCCAAAATTATATTCCCCCTCAGTGCCTTGCTCCTCTGATGAGGGGCAGAAGGCAGAATCTTGTAGGAAGAAGTCGTCGGGGGTGCAGCCGTCATAGAAACCCAAAATCAGCATGTTGGGCTTCATCCCACCTTGTAGAAAAAGAGAGAAAAAACGACTTATAAGACTGATAAAAGTTTTCGTTCTTGTGTGGTAAAGAATGAAAAAAAAAAGTTTACCGAGGCCTGTTATTCGCAACAGGTGCTGCGTTCCTTGTCTGACGGAGGGAGAGAGCGTCAGGTCTACAAAGGCCTTCACTCCAAGTTTATCCACAAGGCTTAGCCAGAAATTATACTGCTGCTGGACTGGGTCTGAAGGCAGGGTGTCTGAAACAGGGAGGGGAGCAAGAAATATTTTAGCAATAGAACAAATAATATCCCAGCTCGGCTAGTTTTCAGTTTGTTGCCGTTCTGATCTTGGATATTTTTACATTTTAAAACTTAATTGAACGGAAAAAAAACACTTACGGCATTCTACCCCTCATCATTTTTTGGATTTTTTTGTTTGTTTTTCATTTGCTGTGACATCATATTTTCAGGCTCTCTTTTGAATATTAGACTGACTGATTCTAAAACAGACATACCAACTAACAATAGGAATATCATATTTCTACATTGTCAGTCTTTGTTAACATGAAAAATCCAATAATTATGGTGGTTGTGGAAAAGTAACTGACAACTGCCCAAATTTCGTCAGTCTGGGGCAATTGAAGAAGGAATCACAACATGGTTACTTTCAGCAATAATTCAAATAATAATAGTTAATACATTTAGCTGCAGAAGGCAAAAACAAATGACCCACTAAGGTTTACCCAGATCTCCCAGCTGCACGTGACCCAACACGAACAGTCCTCCCTTCTTCAGCTGGTTGACAAACAGGATGAGCTGACAGGAGGAGCGTGGGTTGGACACCATCAACAACACCTGGGGCCGCCAGAACTTCACGTGGTCTTTCCTCACATCCAGCATCAACAGGTACTTCCGAACCTAAAGGAAAAGCGGCTGGAGGTGAGCGGCTCTGCTGAGCGAACGGCAGCCTGCTCCTCCACGAGCGCCCCTCGGCTACCTGGTGGAAAATGAGGGCCTGGCTGATGTAGCCCCAGCTGCTGGTGGGCGACCGGTAGTGCAGGAACAGCAGCAGCAGCAGCAGCAGGACGATGCTGCCTGATGAGTAAACGGGGTTAATGACGAACATCATGACCAAACAGCTGACAATCCCCAGCAGGCAGGTGTGCCAGGAGAAGAGCTGAAAGGTCGGCCTGTGGAACACAGCGGAACAAAAAGAGGCGAGTCAGCAAGAAATATCGCCTCCCATAACGCTTCTGCTTGAACTCTGAAATGGACTCTTTCAGCTGAGATACGCTTCTGCATCCCTTTGACCCTCATGTGGATAAAGCAGTTCAAGAAAATGGATGGAAGGATGTCTTTTTCTTTAGGGATTACATCAAAACCAATGTGGCTGAAGATCATTTGTCTTTTCATCTTTATCAAGTTAATTAAGTGGACCACTTTTTTTAACAATCAAATAGTTAAAAAGCAAACCACAAAAGCAAAAACAAAAAGACTGAACTTTCCCATGCTGACATACAGAGAATGCAACATTATCTTAACTTGACGGCAGGAAAAGAGGAAGATAAGGAGCCTTGGCAGCTGTACTGTAACCGGAGATTTGTGACTTCATTTCCTCTCTGCGAATCTAAACTGCTCATTGACTCACATACTTTCAGACTTAACGTTGTTCGAAAGGCTGCGGCGGATGATACCGGCAATAAGTCTCACCTAAAGTTTGGGGCAGAGGCCCACTCAAGAGCCAAACAGGCCAGGTCCACTGCAGCGTAGGCCAGCAGGTAGAAGACGGTCACCAGACCGGCCACGGCGTTGAGCTGCCCTGCAAAGACTACACACTGAGACACAAAACCCCCACAAATCCGCAATTAGGAAGCCAGTTTGAAGTCCAACGGTGACAAAACTGTAATATCCGATAACTGACCTGTGCAAGGCCCCAGGTGTACAGCACCGACACCCATGGATTTCCAGACTGTGATGTGATGGCAGCTGGTGCTAAAGGCAAACCTATGAGGGACACAGAAATCTATTAGAAAGGTCTTTCAAGGTGCAAGTAAGAAACAGTACCTGGAAAAGGTTATCTGTGTCCAACCAAAGAGGTGGTCCAGAGCGAGGGCGTGGAGAATGCGAGAGGCTCCGATCATGGCGCACATGGCAGCCGACAGAGAGGAGCAGTATATCCCGATAGTCACAAATGGGGGCCACAAGTTGATTTGCTGCAAGAACCCATAATCCTGAATCAAAAGGGTCCTCAAGAAAAGAAAAAAAAAAGACAAATTCATACGACTTTTGTAAATTGATCTCCATTAATGCAGCTTAATCAGGTGTTGGTATGACTGTATCTTTCAAAAATGAGATTCAAAGCTGGATCAGACCTGTCACAGGTGGCGCTGACCAAAATTAAGAGAACGACAAAGACTGTGAAAGTGTACACGACAGCTATGATGGTGCCTTTAGGGATGGAGATGCTCGGAGTCTTCAGCTCGCCTTCAAAGATGTGAGGTGAGAGTAAATATAAGATTATTTAGGTATTAACATGCATGATCTCTATATCTGTGGAAATCCATGACACGATAAAGAGAAATGGGCTTTTTTTTCAGCAACACAAATCAAAACTTCCTTTTCAAACTATACTTAAAAGGCAAATAGTGACATATCATTACATTTATGCCACAATAACACTGTTTTATGCTATTTTAAAGTGTTAACCTGACATGTTGGCACCGGCCATGATCCCAGTACAGCTGGTGAACATCACGGCAAACACAGTTGCAAAAGACATGGTGGTGTTGGTGCTGTAATCCAAGGAGTAATCAGCTGGAGAGAACAAGAGAAAGAGAATCCATTTATGCCGCTTTACTCACAACCGTTAGTAAAAAAACTGCGGATTTGTTTTTGACAAAAATGTAGCATCCTGGCAAGCGCCAACGCATCGTCTTTCCTCAACTCACGGCCCAGGTTGTTCCTCAGCGTGGTGGCGCTGAAGCCAGTGTAGCTGGCGTTGTAGCGCAGGGTCTGGTTACCGGGGCCCGGGTGGGTGATGATAATGTTCTTTGGTTTGACTGCTACAGAGCTGATGAAGACGGACAACAATGAGGCCGTGACCACCAGCAGGATGGCGAAGGCGGTGCGAGAGTAGATGTGGGCGCCCACTAGACACACGAGCAGGCACAGCAGGAGGATCACCGAGGAGTACAGAACTGTGCACCAGTAGCCCTGAGGAAGCACGCGCACCCCCTTCAGACCTGTGGACTCTGACGCACAGGAAAAGAGGAAGTCAGAGATTCATCTGATTAATCTGCAAAAAAAAAAAAAACGGGTGAGAGAATTGGAAATGAAACAGCAAAAACTTACCGGGATCTTCTCCAAACACATCAAGTATGGCTTCCACAAGACCCAGAACATACCCGCCACATGCACATACTTTAGCCAGGAAGAACATCAGACCGATGCTTCCTCCAAACTCGGGTCCCAAAGACCGGCTGATCATGTCTGTTCCCGTTTAGATAAGGAAGATTTCTGAGCTGTGATCAATAAAAGTTGGCCATAATCAAATTACACTTCTGAGCAGTAAATATTCCCATTCTGTTTGACTGGTCAGGATACAGTAGGCTCCACCACCCTGAATGGCGCCGTTGGTGGAAATGGCACAGATAGACAGAATTGTGAGCGATATGATGGTGTAGGCTACAACCATCATTAAAAGACCCTGCAGCAGGCCGGCATGACCAACCACAAACCCTACAGAGGAAAATCACAGCATCATGAGTCACCTCAGCACAATGACTCAGTTATACTGTAAATACATTGAGACAAACTTCCACATTTACTGCCCCCAGAGCGGATCGAATTTCCCCTCGACAGTGGCCACAGGCGCAGCCCATACCTGTCCTCAGGAACAGCACGATGCTGAACATGGACAGGATGGTGGGCACCATCACCCCGAAAAAGGTGTTGAGCTTTCGGGGGTCCGGGGTCTGCGCCCCGGCACTGGGGTCCGGGGCGGGGTCTGTCCCTGTGGGGGGTGGCTCTGGCGTGGCCGCGGTCACGGTGAGACCACAGACCCCCGAGGTGATCAGCGGGGTGTGTTCGTTCGTCATGGCTGATACAATGACTTTAGTGGCCCTGAAAAAAAAGACATTTTTTTTAAAATAAGATGGAGATGAGTCTCAGTAGCCTTGTTCTCGTCTGTGGGCTTTGCATGTAAAACAAACTGTTGTCCTGTAATCTAATGTCGTGATGCTTGTAATGCTAATTTCTGCTAATTGTCAGTGCATTGACTTCAATCTGTGATTTTACTTTGAGGTCACGGGTTTTGCCATAGAGCTGTGTTACTAAATATGTTGTAACGCTGTAAAAGTCACAAGAAAAAGGCTACCATTCTTTTTAAAAACAAGTTGGACCTGAGTTGAACCTAAAACAGGAAACAAACAACGCTTTAATATGGAACTGAAAAGCAGAGATGAACATTTTGAGGGTTTAAATTGTAAAGTACACGTCAACTTGAAACGGACTGAAAGAGTAAAGAGAGAACCGTACAAACAAGGGGAGGCTGAAAAGCCGTCCTGTGTGGCTGGGATTTACTAACCCTCAGGCACCACCTGAATTAAAAACAGACACGATGATGTGATAGAAATCTCTGCACGGGCTCAGGAACACCTCTGACACCTCTGTCAGTATCAAAGTGACTGCTGCATCCATGCATACTTTAAAAAGAGTCCAATTCTTTGTGTGTCTGTAGCCACAGCACATCACAGAGGCACGGCTGTGCAGATACACTGTGTTCCAGATCCACGACCCACTAAAAAAATGATGCATCGTGAAAAAATGATGACAAAGGGCAGGACAAACTTCTTCAAATGACTTTAAAAACTGTGTAATAGATGCAAACGGATGCTGCAGTCTCACATGTCCCACTGGGGTTGTGGACATCCAAGATAAACTTGACCCACAGCTTTTGGGGAAAAAAGGAGAGAATAAGTACAGTTGGGGGTTGCTAAGCTCTGGACCCTGTCAATCAGACAAGAAAAAAAATGGGTCTGCAGCAAGCCCGTTACCATCAATACAATGCTAAACATTAAAGTACATACAAAAAGATAGAAACATAGAATCTGTTTGCAAATAACATTTCTAAATTATTTTTTTAAAGGCAAAACTATCCTCTTCTGACTTGCAGACCAACCTAATGATGATGTGCCTGCACTGTCAGAAAAATAGCTGTTCCCCCACATCCACTGCTGCTGGGCTTCAGTGGGACTTCTGACTCCATGAGACGGGAAGATTACGCAGACCGGGGCTCTGTGTCAAGACTGCATGTCACACTTCTTAATAGAAACTCCCCCGCTCACACTTGGGGTTGGTATTTGCCGTCAGCTGACTCACAGCAGCTTGTTTGTTTTTGCGTGGAGCTCAGACCAAAGAGGGGCCATCTGAGCCCAGCAGAGCCTCTGTGTGAGCCCACATGGCCTCGCCGGCCTCTCGCTCTCATTTTTCCTGCTCAAGGGCGCAGCCTCCCATCACTGGGGGGGGGGGGGGGGGGGGGAGCACATGATGGGAAACCTGAAGCAGGCCGTGGTGAGGAGCATGTAAGGGGGACCTAACCTCCTCAACAGATGTCACAGGCCCTAATGAGAAACTAACTACCCTCCATACAAGCGATAAACATCCATTCTGTAATTAGCCTGCAGGCCTGACTGGAGGATGTAAAGACAATAAACAAAGTTCTCTAGAGAAGTTAGAGGAGAACTACAAGCAGAGATCACTATCATTTTTCAGTTCCTCCTTTGCTGATGCTGACATCCGTTGCATGCTCTGTTTGAAGGCATGATGCTGCTCCAGCCCGATGTGAGCTGCCTGGATTCTAACAGGAAGCTTCATTCTGCTGGGATGTTCAGACGAGAGGTGCACCTCAACAGACACCAGGGTGGAGAAACTGCGTCACGCTAAAAGTTTCCCTCCTTTATGGGGCCAAACGGTGACTGCTCTGTGTTTTTACGCGTCCCGAACCGAAGGTCAGGAAGTTTCCCCGGTGGCTCTCCTGTCTGGCCGTGGCACAACAAGGCTGCTGATTCAAGGCGCCTCTGGCTGCCATTCAAACGCACCACCGGCGATGCTTGCAACTAGAAGCGACATGCGATGCTTCATCCCTCCCCCAGACTAAACACAGAACAACCGCCAAGCTCACCTCGCTGAGCCTCTCCACTCACTTTCATGCACTTCCTGCTTGACAGCGCCTTCCTTCGGGTGAGCGTCTGCTCCGGATGGCTGGCCGAGCGCGCCTCGGCTCGGCGGAGACGTCCCGGATCTCAAGCACAGGCTGCGGGCAGGCGGATGCGCGCATGGACCGGGCCTGGCGGACACGACCGGCCCAGACGGACAGACGAACGGACGGACGGACGGACGGATGGATGGGTCTGAATGAGACGCGCTGCTGACCAATAACAACACGCAAACTACGGCACGCCTGGTCCCCACTGTTATCTGCCCCAAAGAGTCACGAGAGCGCTGACAGGACCCACGTGACTCCAAAAAGGGCTGGGCAAAAACATCTCAAATACGAGCAAAGGTAGCGTTGGTTAGACATAACCACGCCCCCTAATGTTTGAGAGCTTTGTCAGGCGTGACCTCATAAGTGTCTGTAGATATCTAATGCCACAATATTAGAAGTAGTGTATTTTTAATTCTATAATGAATGTAATCAGACATGTTAGAAACAAAATCTGCGGGAACTACCGGCTGATGAAAACTTTCCTGTGTTGTGGGCATGGGCTGTAGTGACATCTGTCACCAGCAGGGGGCGCCACACGGGGCCGGTGCGGCTCACCGCCATCACAGTGAGAAGCTCCTCTCTGCTCCTCTGCTCCAGATGGATGCCGGCGGTTTGGTTCTCCTGTTCCTGATTTTAAAAATAAAAAAATTGTAATCAACATTTCAAAAGTAACAGCAAGAAAACGGAGAAACTACAACCTGACTTTTTTTCTGTGTGTATTAAAATACTTCAGAAATTTTTTTCAGAAAAAGCTATTTTCTTCTTTAAATATAGTCTCTTAATGATCCATTTATGTCAATAGTGGGTGAATTAACTGAGTACACGTGTATCTCTCAGATCCCTCCTTTGCTGACCCTTTAACCTATATTTCATTGGGCTTTGACTATCAGACACTACTGATCTGACTTATTTTTCTCCTGATACTGATCTTAGTCCATAGATATCTTACTAGATCATTTAATAAGGTAGATCTAGGTAGAATAAAGCATGAGTAAAGAATATGGTGGACACTGTTTTGTGCCTGTCACTGGGGTGAAGCACAAAGAAAGGAAACACAACTGTTTCAATGGATCAATGGGGCCTAAATTAGGCTCTTTAAAACACAACTGAGCATTCTGAATAATAAATAAAAAAAGCTAACTGAACAATGAGTCAGTGGAGCATCTTCAAACTGTCCCTGCTCTGGACCCTTGCTCAAACTTGTCATTTCTAAAATAAATACTCATGAATAATTAATTGGCCTCAGTCATTAGGGGGTCCTCGTGATTCCCCCTGATCTTATCATGGACAGAACCCGTCTGGTGACATAAGAGGAAAAAAAACATATAACTCGTGCCCACGACTTAATAACTCGTGTCCACAAATAAACAAGTCGTGGGCACGAGTTCTGTGTTTTATTCAGACGGGCTCCGTGTCATTGTGCTGAAAAAGTGAAACTTGATCACAGACGAGGTCATGGGCAGCTGTTGACATCTGTACTGGCCATGCAAGGAAAGGATGAGGGATGAGGGGGGGG